GGGGTGGGCGGTTGGCGTGGTGGGGAGACGGGTGGGGAGGGTGCTTAGAGGGTGTGCTGGGGGGTGATGGATTGGAGAAGACGGGGAGGGGAAGGGGAAGGGGGAACGGAGTAGGAATTGGGAGGGGTGGGTAGCGGAGTCTTGTATCAGCCTACGTGGGTGCTTTCATCCCGTCATAGTCATACGTGACATGTTCATGCATATCTACGCGTATGTAAATACATATACACACAGAGATGAACCCCTAAGTCCGCCTTCAATGTTCTTGTTCCCCATGGTCGTATCCCTTCCGTATCCCAACAGGGGTGCAAAATACCTCAACCAGCGTGGTCGATCTTGTTCGTTTGATGTGGCCACAACTTCTGCACAAGGAGATGCTTTGAGTGCATCTTTGGGAAGAAATACCCCTAGAGCAGGAAATATGTAGCCTTGTCGAATCACTTGTTTTTATGTACATACGTTGAGTGCTGGTGTAAAGGAGGCTCTTGTATGCAACCTTATCTGTGGATAAATCTTGCCAAACGCGCGGAGTGAGACGTTGGGTTTATGCCAGCTAACATATTCCTGCAAGGAACATCCTACCAAAGCCCGGAGCGCACGGATAAGATCAGTATCTCTCTGGCACACAATTCCGCTGCGCGAGTGCCACATGAATTCTGTCCTCAGGCCTTGGCCTCAATGCAGTGATAGCTGAACGGGACGGTTCTTGAGATCGATAGGTACGGTGTCTTTCGTCCAACTTCAGATCTGTGCAACACAGGATTGCGCATGCATGTCCACGACTGTGGTCCTGCAAATTGCGCGAAAGCTTTGCTTCATCAACCTTTAGAGTAGAGAAGTAGGGATCAGGAAAATCGAAGCCGAATGCTATACCACAGCTGTCTGCGCTGTAGAACTCGATTCTTTCGTTAGCATCAGCCCCTAGGAAGTAGTACCATTTGACGGCCCTTGCTGAGTCTCTGCCTTCTTGCACCAGTCATCTAGGTATGCGATTGCCTTGTCTGGGCCCTCTGGAGTATCGAAGATTTCTAGTTCAGGCCCTATCAGTTTCGCGTATGCTTGGTCTTCCCACGATAGCCAGCCAAGTCTGTTCGCTCTGTCTTTAAGTCCTTCCATACGTTCTGCCAGCTCCTCTGCCTGCTTCCAGGGGGGAGTTTCTACAGGCTGTCAGTCAAGGTTGCCCATTGGGAATCATGTGAGAGGCATACTCGTAATTTCATCACATATGGGAAGGATCGAATCGCGCCAATCCTGGCATGCTGCTAGCGCAGACGCCTGTATCTGCTCGTTGACCGCCCGCAGTCGGTCATAGTCTGGATTGGTGTTTTTGTGTACAAGCGCACTCTTCAGCAATCCAATGATATCAGTTCGAAAGGTTTTGTCAAGTCGTAGTAGCGACGCCTGTAGTCTAGCTGTCTGTTATGTTAGCGCCGATTGTCTCCATCACCACCAATCTCATATATGACTGACCAGATTCCTTTTTAAACCCCGGATGCTGCCTCAAATGAGCAGACAGGAGCTTATGCAGAAGCGCAGTGACAGACTTGGGTCCACACAACGCACCCCCAAGCTCAATTACCGCTTGGACAAGCTCTTCATCTAGAAGCCGAGGAGACCCGTCGAGTACAAGTCGACCATTTCTCAGGCAAGACACTTGTAGTTTAAGCTCAAACAAGATCCGGCGAGCTTTGTCAATGCTTGCAACTAGAGCCTCGTGGCAATCTGCGAATGTGAGATGGTGTGAACGAGAGAAGGAGTAATCTGGCAGGCACCCAGAAAATTCCACGCCATCTCCATAGAAGACACCGTTACTCCCCGGTGGAACAGTAGCCCAGTCAAGTGCTAATATCCCTTTTCTGCTATTTGCTTCCGGCATTGAAGTGGTATGTACATCGTCGAATGTATGCTGTAGCAATGCTTTCTTTTTGGTCTTCCTATCGTCTTTAGATGAGTGTCGAACTCCCAGCCGTTTTAGGAATATGGTGATCATCGCCCCGTTGTCTTGAGTAGCAAGCGTGAAAGAAAGTCACGACAGATTCAGTGGGTGAGGAACAGCTAAGAATGAAACGAAGACCAGGCGCTCTTGAGACATGCTGAACGCATAACAAGATATGGTCCAGCACAAGGCAGCTCAGCCGTAACACAGCCACCAATGCAGGCCCGATAGGGTCAAGCAATGGAGTACATACTAACATAGCGTGCATCGCCCTGCATCCTCAGCAGGCATATGTATCACATATGTATCACTTGGCCTCACAGGCAGCTCAGAGAATCGTCAACTTCTTAACACCTTGTGTGCCAACGCACTTCTTACCAGCACCATATCACTATGGCTAGCACAACAACAGCAGCGCCAGCTTGGTTTCCCCTGAAAGCCCCCGGTACAGTCAAGAAACTCGGTGATGTCACAGATGGCATGGGATACTCTGAACGACTCTTCCATTACGCACATGCTTCGCAGCGCAATGATGTTCATTTCATGGAATATCGCCTATTGCAGCGGATCAACATCTTTCGTCTTCAGAATGAGCTTGCCAACCTAAAGGCCGCCTTTTGGACAAATCTGGAGGCCGATGACGGTAAAATGGATCAGCTGAAGACGACCTTGCATGACTATGGTAAGTCTTGACAGCTTAGAATCTCCTGTTTTGTTCCTTGCAGCTGTTCCTTGCGGCTGTTCCTTGCGGCGGCAGAGATAACACGCCAAGACGGCTCTTTACATGGAACCGTGCTGGTAAAAACTATGCCTGCCCCATAAGCAGCTGCCGAAATTGGAGCTCGATCTCTAACGTGGCGTGTCCTCTTCTCTAGCTACTGCGCTCAGAGACTATGCCTATCTCAAAGACATGAGCAGACTTAAGGACTCTGAAGCAAAAGACCGACGACTTGACCTTGCACAAGCATTCCCGGAGCTTGCATCCCTACCAGGAGACCCGTTCAATTCCCGCTATTGTACTCTTGCGTCTGACGCTGGGCCCTCTTCCGACCCTCTTCGAGACTTCCTCAGGACATACCTGCCTCGGCGATGCACTTACACCAAGTCTGAGAAGGATAAACACCTAGAAGAATTTTTGGCTCGGCAGCCCCCGGAAAGCATCTCGCCCTTTGTTGAGAAGCTTTCTCGCTTCATCTTAGCTTTCATTGGGGGAGCCAGCCTCGTCGTGCCCATGCTGGTCATGAGCCTTCCAACTGCGAACAGGACAAAAAGCCTGATCACGGTATCTCTGGCGGTGACTATATTTGCAGCACTCATGTCCCTCGGGTTTAGAGCCACCTACGCTGAGACATTAGTAGCGACAGCCACGTATGCTGCAGTGCTCGTGGTATTTGTTGGTACCAGCATATAGTATGAGACAGTCCGGGGCAAGATTGCAATGGCCTCTTCTGGCGTGTTGCATCCATACAGTAGACAGGTGTAGCGCTGGTTGCTGTTTCAAACGTTGAGCACCGTACGAGAAGGTTGAGTTACCGAGTAGCACTGGGACTCGCCACGCTAGGGGTATCGTAGAACTCGAGAGTGCTCACTAGCCTGGGAATCTTCAGAGAGAAAATGCTGGTAGACGGGGTTTGTGCTGAGCTCGTGGACTTCAGCTCACGGAAGCAATTCGAGGCAGGCTTGGATGGTTGGGATGGGGAAACCATGTAGTAGACACCTCTTTCAGAAGACCGCTGTGCAAGGCGTTCTTGGGATATGACGAAGAAAGTCCCACGTTCAGCAAAGCTGAGGACGAGTACGGATGAGCCTTGTGGAATACTTAGGTATGGAACCTTCGGCAGGGAATCTGCGGGATACTCTGATTGGAGAGTAAAAGTGAGCAACGGTTCATTCGAAAAACCGTCCACGAGATCACGATTTCCATGCCGTTCTGCCTTGGGTCCTGTGTCACGGGGCCCCTGGGATCGTAAGAAGGATTCTCATTTGGTAAGGAATGAAGATGGCGGCAACCAAGGAAAGAGTCCCGAAACGAAGAGACGAAGAAAGCATTCACACATTCTCTATAGTTGCTTCGAACCTGCCAATTCAAAGCTATACAGTGGGTATCTTTGCACCACATTAGAGACGCCCGTCTAAGCTCTCTGCCATGTCTATTATGCACGACAAGGACCGCTAGGATCAATTCCTAACCTTCACCGTATCAAGTACCTTGTCAGCCTCTGCGGCGGTATTGAAGCCCCATTTTGGCGACTTCTTCTTTTTCCCTCTCTTATCTCCGAACTGCTCATCGAATTTCTTGATTTCCTTTAAAGAACTCATATCTTCCGATATTGAGGCACTGATATCCTTTAGGGCTTTGTCGAAATGTACAGCGGTCAGAGTACGCTTCTCAGCATGCTCAAATGCGTCATCACCTGTGTGATTCTGCGCCTGTAGGTTTTCCTCCTGAACGCAGTTCAGAGCAGCAGCCACCGAAAGATTCTTCAAATCCGATCCAGAGTAGAAAGGAGTCTTGGCTGCCAATTCCGGCAGGTTGACGTCTTCTGCCAGGGTTTCGCCTCGAAGATGGATCTTCAAGATCTCTAACCTGTCGTTCTCGGAGGGCAAATCAACAAGCAGTCGTCGAGGTAGTCTTCTTAGCACAGCGTCATCCAGATCAAAAGGCCTATTGGTGGCAACCATGATAAAAGCACTACCAGCGTCATTATTCATACCATCCCATTCTCTAAGGAATTGGTTAAGTAGCTCTCTATGGCTTACACGACGCTGTCCACCGCCGCGGGCACTAAAGACAGCGTCGGCCTCGTCGATGAAGACAACACATGGCGTGAGCTTTTTGGCCAGGCTGAAAAGAGCTTTGACGTTCTTTTCACCTTCGCCGACATACATGTCATTCAGCTCTGCGCCACTGACCTCAAGGACGGTCGCTCCAGACTCTTTGGCAACGGCTTTTGCTAATAGGGTCTTTCCCGTCCCTGGTGGCCCATACAAGAGGAGGCCAGGGATTTTGTCTGATGCCAGCACGCCATATTTAAAAGCATCCGGACGTATCAAAGAGAGCGCGGTCAGAGTCTTGAGAGCGTCGATCGTGTCCAATGGCGCATGGACCTGGTCGAATGTGGTAGCTATCTTATGTGGCTCGATCACGCCACCAATTAGCTTTTTCTCATACCTGTTGGCCTTCTTTCGAATCTTATCTAGACGCTGGGTTTCCGTGCGCTCGATGTCAGGCTTGCTTTTGACCCGACTCGCTTTTTGTCGGTCGGTCCAGGCAAACTTGGCGTTGTCGCTGCCCTTCAAGTTCGTACAAGCTTGGTTCACGCAATCGTCCACAGATGCTGCAGTGTCTGATTCCAATTGTCCGACTATCATCGTCGCAAGACGGTGGACCTGATCAAATGTCCATAGGTGGCGATCAGCACCAAGTAATTCAAGCGCGTAAAACCGTTCGATAGAAAAGTCTTCGCTCAGTGATATCCACTTTTGTTGTAATTGGCTACCTGCATAAAGCCCTGGCAGTTTGATGGACAGCATTTGCCATAGATGGCGGAGATTGATCGCTCTGGTCCGTTTTTGCTTGTCTTGTCTCAGGGTCAATCCAGCATCTTTTGAGGGAACCACGGGAGTGATGACCATGGTTCTTGAGATATTCCCTGGAGGCTGAGACTGCAGGCTACGTATGTTGTCCACGGAGTACTGCTCCCCTTTTGGAAGAGTATCAGTGCCAACGACCATCACCTTTTGGCCTCTACGCCTCCTACTCTCAATCTGAGCATAAAGGGCGTTAAGGAATTTTCGCCCGAAAGCGGTCTGTTGCAGAGCCTTGATGTCTCGAATGTGGAGGATTAGCGGTGAATCGACCTGAACAGCCGGGCTGGTAGGTGATGCCTCAAGGGGCTCGATGTCAGCTGTGCTATCTTTCCTCATTGCCCGCTTCAAGAGAGGACCTGCTATGACGGCCTCAATTAGAGGCGTCAAACGCTGTTCCGCCGCCGTTGCGCGTTGCTGTTCACTAGCAGATTTCCCAGCAAAGAAAGAACCTAGATTCGACAGCACGGATCCAGGAGAACCTGACTGCCGTTCCGAGCGTCGCCCTCTCGGCATGTCACCGCCAGCTAGGTCCAATGCCGAGCCTCTTACATCCAAGAGAACAGTTGGCATAGCTGGCCTGATGCCACCCAAACTATCGTCTTGTTCTGCTTGCTCTTCAAACTCGTTGGCGGGCTCGTCCTCCCGTCGGACCTCGTTATTGTGTCCTTCTTCCTTTTGGTAAACATCGTAACTCAACAATCTCCTATCATCCGCAGCATCGTCGGACAAACTAATATTGTGAGGGTCGCATGCTAAATCTGTAATGTCCAAAGCGTCCAAAACAACTGTATCTGCCCGCACTTCCAAAGCCAATTTCTGTACAAGTTCGTCGAGTAAATAATCGCCTCCTTCACCGGCATAATGCAGCGTAAGGTGATTCTTCCTCGAAGCCACATCATCGGCAACGAAGGGGGTCGGCAATCTTAACAGTCCTCGAGATGTCGAAACAAGTTCGTGCCACTGGAACGATTCGACATAATATAATGTCTTAGGAGATTGGGAAACGTCTTCAGAAGTCGCTTCGCTTGTTTCCTCACCCAAAGGCTCCGTACCTGGTGCGTCACCTGGGTATATATGTGTATTCTCAGCCGAATCCACATATTCGGCTTTCTCTGAGCTCCATTTGACCAACACTATTGGCGATCTCCCAATATCTTCCACTGGTTGAACGTTGTTGTCAATAAACCAGTCCGGGATCCGCACCGAAGGTTTCACTTCTTGGTGTGCTTTGCTTCTCTTAGATCGTCTCGCTGCGGAGCCGTAATGAGCCAAATCCCGTGGGGAGGGGATTGATAGGGCCGTACTACTGTCCTTCTCCTGCGACGTATCTTCTGGCCGTCTCGCTTCTGGGTCATCTCGAACCTCTGCACTTGTGACTGCACCGTCAGCCTTTTCAGAACCTCCTTCTGAAGCTGGTTGACGCGGTGTCTGGTGAAACTTTCTGCTTGGCTGGGGAAATCGTCGATTTGCAAGTCTGCGGCAGGTATATCGGAAGGGTTTTCGAGGAGCAGAAGCCACTAAAGTTCGTACAACAGGATGCATCTGGTTCAATATCGTGTCGTGCTGAGAAAGTATGGTGATGCGGAAGCTCTAGCTAACGCCCAACACCACAAAGCGGGCCACCCCACAAAGCGGGCCAATTTCGGGTCACCCACAAAAAACCACCCTCAAATTTCTAACGCTTATTACTCCACCAATTTACGTCCAAATGGCCTCAAACCAAGAGCAATTGATTCAGCAGGCGTTAAATGACCTAGATATAGGTGCTGAGAAGTCAATTCGCAAGGTAGCTGCCAAATACAGGGTTTCAAAAACGACTGTGGCTTACCGACGCAGAGGTCGCAACCCACGTACGCAAGCCAATCGCAGGACTCAACGCCTATCCCTAGAAGAAGAAAAAACTCTAATTCAGTGGATTCGAGATCTACAGCGGCAGAATCTATGCCCAAATTACCCTAGAATTCGCTCTTTTGTGTACGAAATCCTGCGAAATCGAGGCGATTCGCGGCCCCTGGGCAAGAACTATGTATCTCGCTTCATTTCTCGCCATTCAGAGCTTCGAACAAGCAGATCTCGAGCTATGGATATTAAGCGCCTCTCTGCGCTTGATCCTACGGTTATAGAGAGCTTCTTCTCTGAATTTGAACAGCTCCGAAGTCAGTATGGCGTCGAAATAGAGAATATCTGGAATATGGATGAAACAGGCTTTCAAATGGGTCAAACAACAAGCAATTTTGTGGCCTATGACGCCTCTATAGGGCGCCCTGTTGCTCCGCAGCCAGATAATACGCAATGGGTCACAATTATTGAGTGTATCTCATATCACCGCGCCCTAAAGCCCTATCTCATCTTTTGTGGCAAGGCACCAGAGCTACATATGTTCCCTGCTATTGATGAGCTACCTGACATTATTTGGGCCTTCTCTCTAAAGGGATGGACTGATAATGAGCTTGGTATTGATTGGCTAAGGCGGATATTTATTCCACAGAGGCCTATAGGCAAGCATTCTATTCTGATTCTTGATGGCCATGACAGTCATTCTACAGGCCTATTTCAGTATCTCTGCCTTCAAAACGACATCCATCCACTCTATCTACCAGCTCATGCCTCTCATAAGCTTCAACCACTCGATTTAGGACCCTTTTCGCCTCTCAAAGCAGCATATGGCCAATTAGTACAAAGATTTGCACTAACAGGCCTTGCAACACTCAACCGCAGAGTATTTACCAAGCTCTATATTGAAGCACGTCAAACTACATTTACTGAGCGAAATATTCGTGCTGGATGGCATCGTACAGGAATTTGGCCTCTAAATAAGCAAAAACTACTCAATGACCCTGAAATTCGAAATTTTGGACGTACTACGCCTGAGTATCAACCCCCAGCTACGTCAGATGGTCTCTATAGCACTCCAAAGCAGAGTGACAATTTACGCGCACTAATTCGTCAAATTGAGGCCAAAACAACGCCTCAAACAAGACGCGCTGTACGAAAGCTTGGCCACAGCGCTATTCAAGAGCATACTGGCGCTCAATTGCTTCGAACGCAGCTCCGAGAGCTACGTCAATTGGCTTTGAAGCAAGAGCTTACCAAACGCTCAAAAAGGATACAAAAAGAGACAAAGCAGCGGTCGTGGAATCTCGAACAGGTCAGGGCTGCTCTAGCGCCTAAAAAGGTCCATTTCGTACGCAAGGAGGGCGGCGAAAAGCGAATTCTGCGTACTGTTACATTAGAATAGGCCTATAGAAGCTATTTCTATCGAAATTAGCCAATTTGAATGAGTATAGCAGCTCTAATGCAGTAGAATTTGGTGTTGTTGCTAACCCGAAATTGGCCCGCTTTGTGGGGTGGCCCGCTTTGTGGTGTTGGGCGTTAGTGAAATATATTGGCGCTAACTAGAGTCTGCCACCAAATCCCGAGTACGTACGTAGGACTCCGTAAGTACTCAAGTACTCCTTGCCTCTAACGGAACGGGGCAGCCTAACCCTTACACAAGCACTAAGCTGGAATACGGGGCCTCTGCTAATCAAGCTTGAATTACGGAGTACATTTAATGTTCTGTTCTAGGGATGGCACTTTCTAGTTAACAGTTGCCAGTAAGTCACACATAGCCGTTGGTAAACGAATTCAATCAAGATATTGCAATCCACTTGTTTGAAAGAACCATGACGACGAAGCTGCTGAAGGGTTCATACACTACCGCACTGCTCCCAGCATAAGGCACTTATCGCAATGACATCCAAGTCACATCGGTCTGTGCAGCCCTTTCATCTAAACTTCTATAATCACAATGGCCGAGACTATACACTGTTATCGTGGGTGTAGTGGTGAAATTATGACTAAGTGCTGCACACCAACATTGACGGAAAGCCTGCAAATTGATCATAGCTGTGTCGTAGGCAGCTCAAATGGCGTCTGCTTTCCCTTACAGACAGTCGCATTCGGGGGTAACGTACCGTTTGTGAAGTACGGCACAATCCATTCCGCTGTGCACTCACTGTCCTGGGTGGCCGAATAGGATAAATGGCCTGTGCCATTGATAGTGAGCACGCTTGACCCTGGGAAGGCCTTCGACATGCTGAAAGCGCTGTAACATAGCTTAGCAGATTTGCGACGCTTAGGAGGAGGAACATCAAAGAGGCATACTTTCGGAGAGGAGTAGTAGGGTCAGCCGTGTTCCCAACGAACAAGATAGGATTGCTCGTCCTTATATTCTCAAACTTCTCTGCACCAAACCGTGAGTATCCAGCTTTTTCTGGCCTTCGCAATGGTTTTCGTACCTGTGAAGCGTTCCTTGGCCGGCAGCCCTGCACCTATAGCAAGAAACATAAGTATGGTCAAATGCAGTTGGAGAAGACGGGTTGCATGTACTCAAACAGATAATCTCTATCTGGGAAGACAAGCCACCAAAGTACTGGCTCACTCCTTGATATTTGTTGAACACAGCTTCAAGCTTACTCATCCCAGTTCCCTCCGCTCGTCCCCCGCTATCACTGCAGAAAATCGTGTAGACTATGTTGGGGCTGTTTTTGAGCCCGGTTGTGGTGTCGACCAGAGGAGACTCAAGTGGCGAGCTTACGTTGTTAACGAATTCCAGATACGATTTGATCCCACGACCGGGGGCACGGTTGTAGATCTCCGCTGCAACGCTTGCCAGTAGGGCGAAGCCTCTCGCCGGTTGGTAAAGAGCACTGTAAACCCCCAAGCGCCAGAGCGGTATTTTGAGGAGTCCGAAACCTGGGATTGGGAGCGGGTTTTCTAAAAAGCGTTGGTCGCCCTCAAAGAAGCGGTCCCGAATCTCTTTTGGACTACTATACCAGAAGGCGCACTTATCTGGCCCAGCATCATAGCAGAATTGGAAGAAGTTATTCAGGGCGGTATCGGCGTCACCAATGTCGAACCCTGGCTCCTTTTCAGGCTTATACCAACTGTTGAAGTCAACAATACCTGCAGTGGTCAAAAAAATCAATGTGCCCTTATCGCGAAGGGCTTCATAAATCTCTTACCATCTAGCGCCATGCGATCTATTTTATCCTGCAGAACGGTGTCAGACAAGCTCGGTGGAAGTGTGCAGAGTTACATACAGGGAAAAGTGCCGCATAAGTAGCACCAAGTATGGAGCCATAAGAATATCCTCTGTGGAGTGATGTCAGTCAAACACATTCAGCTTGGACAACTGACCAGGATACAAGTAAGAAAGCTTGTCTTGACCCAAGATTTGCAAAACGTAGTCCATGTCCTTTGCCACATGCACAGTTCCGACGTAGGGGACTAGACTAGGGGTGACAAGGTCACAGTCGAGCTCAAGCGACTCCCCTACCGCGTAGCTCTCGTTCAGTGATTTGTCGGTGTACCCAGGCTGCGAGTCGGTGATATCCCTGTTCCGCTGGGCTGAAGCGAGATCTGTAGCATCACAAGTGATTGGCGGAAAGGTGGATCCCACCCCTCTTGGAACAATGCCAACTAGATCAACGTCGTTCCCAACTTGAGCACGGAGCAAAGCACCACGGTCCGTTATGAAGTCGATACTGCAATAGATCTTAGCATCTGCTCAGGATGGGTTTGGGGCAACCTACGGATCACCACCCGGACCTCCTCCATTCACAAAAACCGTTCTTGTGGTTTGAGTATGATTAGAGGCACCAAGCTTGATGATGGCTAGTTGAACATCTCCGAAAGACGTGTTTAGGTAGTCAAGAGGCGCCTAGTAGAGCCCAGAAGCTCAGAGTCAGTAGTACTTCCATATATTGACCACTCGTATGTAGACGAGCCTCTGACCTCCGAAATGGCATCGGTGGAGGCGAAGGGAAATTTCAGCGTACAATCAATCGAGCACAGCTGACAGGACCCAGCTCGGCGGCTAATGAGTCCCCGTAACATGGAACCCAGGCAAGCGTCTTTGAGGGTGTCATTGAAGCGAAAGTGTTACGATTAGTCGTCGCATTCTCCTCTCGTCTCCGAATGGGTAACGGCTCAGCAACAACATTGGTGAAGACAATGCCAAAGAGACAGAAAATGCTGGAGTAGATCATGACGCTGGTATTTCGCAGATATCCTGAACGAAAGAGAAGACCGTGGAAGTTTCAAGATAGAGACATCGTACCGGCATGATAGCCTGTTAAATACTCCACTCACTAATAGCATCTTACCGCTTTCTTTTGCTCCTTTTGGAAAAAGCCTGGCTAGAATCGACCTTGCGATATATTCCGCAGTGTCCAGGTAGACGCAGCAGGCAACACGTCGCAGGCATGCGCAACACCCTAACTAGCTGCTCGCTTAAAGAGCTTGGACACTTTACTGCTGTGGTGTCGTTCCGGTTACGCCTGCATATGAGCATAACGTACTGCTGTACGTCAGTTTCCAAGAAGAGGATGTCTCAGCACGTCTCCTTGTCCATGACTCTCATGGCTAATCAGAGAAGTCGATTATGAAGTAGAAGATTGGTTTTCATAATACTCTGTAGGTTGCGGTAGATAGCCACTTGGGGTGCTGCAGATTATGTAAGCCCACGTGATCCTGCTAGTTTGACTTCTCAATATTCCACTCACAGAGTTGAGATTTCTATGCTGACTCGAGCAGAAAGTTTCAAATCAACTTACTAAATCTTCAGAGTTCCATCAGTGATAACGTCCCAGGCAACAGCTATTAGCTAACATTTGTGGGACAAGCTTCGAGATTACGTGGCCAGGATTTGCAGTGTTGGGGGCCACAGCCCTTTTCGATTGACTAGGTGATGAAGGTACGCAAGCCCGCATCATACTAGAGGCCTGGAACTTCTGTTGCAAGCGGGCCACTACGATTTACCAGCAAGACATGGCGCCGACCCCTTGCGCACTTTGTACCGACTCTCGTGCTGTGATCATCCGCCCCAAAAACCATCAGAAGCTTTGTAGAGCATGTTTCATATCACTATTCGAACGAGAGATTCATGAAACGATCACCTCCTCTGCGCTTTTTCAACCAGGGGAACGTATAGCTATAGGAGCGTCAGGCGGCAAAGACTCAACGGTTCTGGCTTCTGTCTTGAAAACTCTTAACGACCGATACAACTATGGTCTTAAGCTTCTTTTGCTATCGGTAGACGAGGGTATCAAAGGTTATCGTGATGACAGCCTTGAGACAGTCAAGAGAAATGCAGTACAATATGACATGCCTTTAGAGATAGTCGGTTATGACGAGCTCTACGGCTGGACGATGGATCAAGTGGTCGCTCAGGTAGGCAAGAAAGGCAATTGTACGTACTGCGGAGTTTTCAGACGGCAGGCACTTGATCGAGGTGCTGCGAAATTGGGCATCAAGCATGTGGTGACTGGACACAATGCGGATGATGTCGCTGAGACTGTCATGATGAACCTTCTGCGTGGGGATCTACCCCGTCTGGCCAGAGCGACTTCGATCTTGACTGCAAGTCCTGCTAGCGATATCAAAAGAAGCAAGCCATTGAAGTATGCATATGAGAAAGAGATCGTTCTTTATGCACATCACAAACAACTCGATTACTTTAGTACGGAGTGTATCTATAGCCCTGAGGCATTTAGAGGAAGCGCAAGAACCCTGATCAAGGACCTCGAAAAAATACGACCAAGCAGTATTCTCGACATCGTCCGTAGTGGTGAAGACATGGCAAGACTTGTTCCACCTGAGCTTCTTAGCTCAAGTTCTTGCGATGGCGGAATAGACGGAGAGGAAGGGGCCACAAGTGGTTGTGGCAGTACCAAGGGACGATCTGGCCATGGAGAAATGGTAGATATGGAAAAGCGCCTTGCTGAGAACGAAGCAGCATCCACTCAGGAGACAGAAGTGACACTGTCCTCAGCGAACGATCGGCCTCGGGACGCGGTTCAGGCAAAGCCGAAACCGAAGCCGTTCTCGATCCATGACAAGAGGCAGAAAGGCAGGCGGAAAGCCGCTGCACAACAAATGGGCAAATGTGAGCGTTGTGGCTACCTTTCCAGCCAAACGATCTGCAAGGCTTGTCTGCTTCTGGAAGGCCTAAACAGGAATCGACCAAAGACCACGATCGAAATTGGAGTAGAAGATGAAGATTCCAGCACGACTTTGATGAGGCAGGTGGCTTCTCTGGAGATCCCGTCTGCTTGGACAGGGTCTATCGAAGAACAAAGTTAAGTGTTCTTTCCGCAATGCAGCAATCTGGATATCTAGTGCAACCCAAGTTCGTCTTGATATTGCCTTTACGAGGCGGATGATGAGCTGAATTGATTGGATCATAATTCAGACTAATTGGTCTTTTTCAAGCCAATACAGGCTTCCTCGCTTCTGAGAGAATTGACCCAGCGAACTCAAAGGGCAGCTTGGCTTCGAGATGCTTGACCGCAGCGGCGAGACCGCTGCTAAATCCATCTTCATGCGATCCGAATTCTGTCCAAGCTTCACAATAGCTAATGCCCCGCTTATTTTGAATTAGGGGCAACAGCCTGTGACTCGAACGCTTTAGCATTGTACAGAGGGGCGAATATTCTCGAATACTCTGCGCCAACCATGGATCTGGTGGAAAGAGAGGGTTCAGAGCGACCAGTATGCCCCCAAATTTCTTCTCAGGAATATGCTGGAGGAGATTCATCCAGTATGTAAGGCACACCTCCGGGCTGGTTTTGATCGAAGATGAGGCCGGAAACGGTGACTCTGTGACATAGTTTCGGAAAGACCAAGCAACACGTCTCTTTGGCATAAAAGATAGATCGGAATGGAGGATTGCAATATGCTTATTGGTTTTGAAACAGCTCAATATGTTTCTCTCCTTGTGTGTTGCTGTCTTGCTCAAGAGTTCATGAGCTTGGTTCCCATACGTTGCTAGATTACGTGGTCGAATCTTCTTTCTTTCTCGTTTATAGAGAGCGTCACACGACCGTCTTTGCTGCGTCTAAGAGCATTGACCTTTGTCTTGACGTGCACACAATCTCGAGGAAGGTCCTTCATAGCGGCCCTGATGATTGCTGTGACCTACCATTAATCGTGTTCCAGTCTTGACGAGTGTCGAAAGTCCTCAACATTTGATGATTCCACATGAGGCGTACTAACGTGATTGCTGAAATCTGTAAGGCGCTCCATACTGCCGCTGTCATGGGAATCAGGTGTTCACCTGAAAAAGCCTGTGAGTATCCTTCACGAACGAGGTACGCTCCAATTTTCCCTTCTCGAGTTCCAGGTTGGTTCCGTGTTTTGCAGCTTTTATTGGATTCGTATTGTTGTGCTTCTGCTTCAAGAGGTCAATGGTGAATTGGTTGGGTCGGTAGATGTCAAAGATCAGCCTCCACGTCCGCGGCTTGAAAAAGTTCCTCTTTTGCGCAACGAGGCCTGGCAAAGACGTCCTTGCCCATTCAAACCACCTGCATCCCTTGGTACCCCACATGTCATTTGCGGCTTCACAGTTTGTACATCAATGTGTTTCAAAAACGCGGTAAAGTTTGCTGACACCAGGTCCATGATCTTTGAAGAAACGGATGTACTGGCTTGGTAGACTGACGATGTGTGGCTGTATTGACAACAGTCAATCTTGTATCCAGATTTGCAGATTCTCCATCGGATTCTTGGAAAGTGATTGTATTCGTATCACCCACTAACCGAGATCCAGACACATATAGGCGAAGTCCATAACTTATGTCTTTCAGTGCCTATAGAGCAGCTATCCCCGAGCATCTGCTGCCGGCTACCGCAATCCTCTTTCGTGACATAGAAGGCAGGAGTAGCGGTATCTCCGATCATGTAGCAGATGTCAAAAGAACGCTCATAGGACTTTTGCGGAAAGTATCACCCCACCACCGGCTTTCAAGCAATACCTTTATTCCGATAGGACTGAAATTTACTTACCTACACACTAGATCATCGCACGACCTGTCAACCCAACAAGCATAGTACTTGACTTCTTGACGTTGCTTAATGCCTACAGTGCAGTGGTACAAGAAACTCCGGAGAATCCTTGGCAAATCCAGAACATTGCTTTTTTCCCCATAGTCTAGGTGCCGGTGCGCTACCTCTTCCGGTTTAGCCCCGCCCGATCGGGGAACGCACCCTCTCGCCGCTTGGCCCGGGTTCGTTCTCCTCCATCGCAAAGATAAATTCTTCGTATACACGCTCAACATCACTTTGTCTAATAAGTTTATTTCTGGATCTCTTTCAAGTTCCGAGTCTGTGGCTCTTCCAGAGATCCCAATTCAAGTGAAAAGGGGTTTCCCTTCTGGGAAGAAGAGAGATTGAAAGAGTGGAGTGTGATCATGTCATATGATGGAGCGAAGAAAAAGAAGAGGAAAAGAATCATGAGAAGAAGAACGAGAGCCGAGGAAAGGGGCAAAGGCGGTAGCGGTCAAAATCGAGCCTGACAACAGGTATCTATTTCACAAGATGCGTTCGTTTCATACAGTGTGCAAAAGCATAGTAATAACGGTAAACACTTCATAGACATGTACTGCTTTCGGTTTTACTTCAGACCTCCCCCCTTCCCCCCCTCTCTCTTTCTCTTGTTTTGCCCGAACAATCTATTTAGTCTTTCATGATGGATTCGTTCTTCTTCCACACCCTTCCGGAGTTTAGTGTTTTTCGTACTCCCTTGGATTTTTCTTTTCCTACTACTTCTCTCAGTTAATCCCCAGAGAAAGGTGTGCGCACCAGGCACAGCCCAATTGGGGTTCACAAAAGCATAACAAACAGCGGTTTCGGGGACTTTGTGTGGATGATGCCTCTTGAATCTTCCCGCGTGCCTTCCATTGACCGAGAAGCTCGTTTTTCATCATCACCTTCAGGATCTCATCCTCTCATTCTACTTTATGCACTTCCTCCATCACAAATCTGAACTATCGATCCTGGTACGACCCACATGGGTGAGAGAACTCTGTTCTCTACATCAGCAGTGTGATGGATATACAAAAATTTACTCAAAATCAATGCATGAGGCTCTGTTTGGCTAGGTAGAAGTCTGGTAAGCATGGGTCTGAGGGCTATCGAGCACAACTCGAGAATCTTGTGAAGGAGGTCAAGCAGATACTACATGTACTGTCTAGAGTAATCTATTGACTCCATTCATGTGGGCCATACTGAGTAGTGGAATATTGTCCAAGGTTGTACGGAGTCGTGGATCACACTCGGAGCCGCCAAGAGGTCTCCATTGGCATGATGTAAGATTGGAAGATGGATGTCAATTGAGTCAATTTGAATGGATCCTCCCGGTCACTGCTGTTCGTAGTAGCAACTGACTGTCGCAGAATGAGGTAAAGCTTGCTCTTGAGCATCCACTCGACTGTGTGTCAACCGGGCTTGTCCGATACTAGTATGCGAAGGTGACATGAATTTATTGTAGGCTACTCCACCTCTCACACGTCTTTGACTTTGGGTGTGGAGCTCTTCTGGTCTTAGGGCTGACCGTCTCATACGCCATGAAGATCTGGAAGCTCTTTCTGCTTTTAGCACGAGCCGGACAGAAAGGAAGGAACATGATCCACCAGTAAATATTTTCTCATCTTGTCGGAACAAGATCGCAACCAACGTCCCACAACATTTAATTGGCCTTCTTATATCACTGGCAAGACTTCAACATTCCTGCGCTTCATCTTTTTCAACATGGCCATTAGAAAGCTGCCATTCATTGCGCTAACATGTTTGCTGGGCGCTCTGGCCTCCGCTCAAGGAAGCCCACCGCGTTGTCTGAATACCCTTGCATTCGACAATCCATCTTTGCGAACGATGTGCTACAATGCCAGTCAGTACTTCCCTCTCCTCCCACTTCCCTCTCGGTCTTGAGCATCGAACGGCTTGCTTACGTACCGCAGCATGGTTCATTGTGCCAGTACCCGTACAATCCGTCCAGTCCATCGTTCCTTACCCTTTGATAACGCCGCCCTTTTCCGACCCGTCCCTCTTTCCAAAACCTTTCCCTGCCAATACTCATCCAGTGCTCGTTACCGCTGGCTTTTTGGTGACCATCCCCCTTTCCCTTTTGACGTTGGGAACTCCGTACTTACTTGATCTCTCAGAACGACATCCGCCAATTCAGCCTCCAAATCCAGTCGCTTCTGTCAGCCAGCATCGTTATCCCCTTCACCGACCGCCTCAAAGATGGGAAAACGCCCTTCAGCTACCCTGTCCGTAACTTTATCGGCGGCGTCAATGGGCGAGACGTCAATGCTGTGGTCCCCACCCTCGTCGGGACGGCACAAGGCACCAATATCTTCGTTGCCTCCTTCACCCCCAACGATGCGCCCTACGGGGCTCTAGCCTCCGACCCGAACGAGTTCGTCGCACAAGTCAGGCAGGTGATCTTGCCAAACCCCCTCTCCGGCCCTGGAATCGCGCCTGCGGCTGTCGATCTCAATTTCGTCTCTGCCAGCGAGCCTCAGTACACCGAGCGTACCTTCCGTGCGCTGATCAACCAGCCGAGTATCCTGACGAATACAAAGTGTCAGCGCAACATGTACTATTTCAACCAGACATTCAGCGACCCCGTGTTAAGGACTGGGACCGCGACGCTTTACGGGCCAGCCCGTGGGGGCGTTCTTCCAGCTGCCCTGGATAAGCGGTACGAAGGGCAGGGAGGGTTGTCGGCCAGCTCAGTGACGGTCGGGTTCAACGTGGAGGACTGTGAGGTTGCTGCGGCGAACATCGATCCTAATGCTTGAGGGAGAGAGAGAGAGTTGAATGCAGGAGGACATGTGGGCATTAGAGACAAATTCACAAGTCACGCAAGGCTTCTTTCTGACATCCATCGGCCCTGATATAGAATAGTGATAGTGATGTCGGCGCCACATAAACGGGCTGATTGCGACTGCCTAACAAAAATGGGGCAGTCTATCTAATCATGAGATCCATATCGTAGTAGTGTCAGCCTGCATGAAAGGGCCCCATTGGACCAATTTTCCAGCTAAATACGTTCGAAGCCTGTTCTTCGCCGGGTGTATGATTGGTCCGGAGGTCTATTTCTGGTTGGCCAAATTCCGCAACAAATTCCATCTCTTGCGCAGTAACAGCCAGCCTTACGAAATATGTGTGCCTCTCTACCCTCCCCGCCCTCCCCCTATGTAGAGGACAGTATTTGCCATCTGCCGCCTTCTACTTCTACGTAGCAGGTTGGCAGATATTGGTAGGGACGACAAGGGACCGTCAACTAGATAGTAGCTGGTTGATGGCTGACAAATCCCAGCTATACAGCCCATCATCTAACGCCGAGATGTTCTGCTCATTCGACCTTAGACAGGCTTTTACTCGGAAGACAAGGGGTCCAGGTGAGATGTGATAGTAGTTCTACATAGTATCAGTCACTGCTTACTACCACTCTTGACGTTTGTGTGACTTCTCTTTCTTCTCAGTTGAGTTGGGGTGTATATGCAGTGTTCTTTCCAGGGTGTATAAAATATACGTAGTAAATCATCTTTGATATGTATCAGGATCAAGACCGGATTTAAGGCTGATATGCTTGGCATTAGTGACACTTTGGAAGTTCATTCGCTCCCAAAAGCGTCAGTGGTTTCAACCGCATAGAGCAGACAAGACGAGAGCTGGCTTGTATCATTCATGAACCCCCTGTGTTGTATATGAAAGAGAATTGTCATCCTGACAAGTGCTGCATCCTGTGACTTTGTCGATTCAACCAGACGTCACGGATCGACTTGCGTAAGCTACCAAAACTCGTCCAGGCTCTTTGCAGCCACCCTCACCTAACGACATAATCTCTCCTCATCCTCTCAATACGAACGTGGAAACAACCCGCATTCTTCTCGCTTCAACCTCATCTCTCCTCTCTACTGCATTCTCCACATAATGGCCAACCCTCTAGATACAGACGCTGGCTCGGAACTATTCAGTAACTACGAAGCGGAACTAAAACTCATCCAAGCAGACCTCAACCAGAAACTCGATACTCTCCCCACTCTCACAAGCGAAGAGCGCAAGTCTGCCCTTCGTACTGCGTCACGTGCCCTGGACGAAGCCAAAGAACTCCTCGACCAACTCGCCCTCGAGAAATCGAATATCCCCTCTTCCACCCGCGCAAAGGCGAATGCACGCTACCGAAATGCACAATCAGACGTCGATGAGCTATCCCGACGGCTGAAGAGCTTGGCAAACGATCAAAGCGATCGTAAAGCTCTGTTTGGGGATCGCTATACGGATGAGCCTGGCGGGGATGTGCAGCTCGAGCAGAGGCAGCAGTTGCTTAGTGGGACGGAGCGATTGGGAAGGAGTAGTCAGCGGTTACAAGAGAGTCAGAGGATAGCGCTCGAGACAGAGAGTATTGGTGCAGGGACACTCGCGGATCTGCATCAACAGCGGGCAGTGATTGAGAATACACATCGGAATTTGCAACAGAGTGAGGGTTATGTGGATCGAAGTGTTAAGACGCTGAGGGGGATGGCACGTAGGTGAGATCATTTTCTCTTCCCAAGAACTTTGATTCGTATGGTGTAGTGCTAATCTCTGATAATTCCAGGATGGCTACAAATCGGATTATAACGATTGCGATTATCACGGTGCTGGTTCTGCTGATTATTGGAGTCATCTACAGTAAATTCAAATAACTGTGAGATTTGCAGAGACAATAGAGGGGTTAAAAAGCGTGTTTTATTGGAATTTGGCCTCAGCGACGATCAGCATCGCTACATAGTCGACTACTTGTACAGTAGATACACCCAACATGCTACAATATACCATAATATGATGCTTCTGCAACAACACCTCCTCAGCTGCAAGGCATACATAAACAAAGATGACTCTACTCGGTGCCCACCGGACCCGCTTGCTGAACAATGCGAAAGCATCCTGCTCCACCCATATGCTCCAGGTTGAATTTATTTCAACCACCTAATTCCCCCGAACCCAGCATTAACAACTACTCCAATCACAACCGCAACCTTCCTCCTCCGGCTCCACACCCCTTCCTCCCTACAAAGCCAAGACAGACACCCTAATGGCCAAAAGAACCCCATCACAGCCCCCCACAGCATATCATCCAGCGCGCCCGCCTGGCCCTCGTCATCCACGAACCCTCCTCCACCTGCGGCTGCTGCACTAGCTTCATTTGAGTTGTCAAGCCACTGGTCTTCGAGCTCTCGGAGCGTGGTGGGTGATGGCATCTCGGCTGAAGTATGGGTGTGGGCTTGTATGGCGAGGAACTGGCTGCGCAAGGATTGGATCTCTGGGAGGGTGAAGCCGGCGTTGAGGAGGCGGTCGAAACCGCGGGGGCGGGGGACGGTATTGGTAGCAGCATCGTTGATGGGTGTTGCAGAGTCTGTGGGGGACTTTATGTGTTTTGCGGTAGACAGATTGTGTTTGGTGGCTAGGCGGGCTTCTTCGGCGAGATCTTGAGCAGAGAGTGGTACGTCGCCGATGGAGCAGTGGATGTAGATTCGGGAGAGGGAGGGCGGATCGCGGACTGGGGCTTTGCCTTTTGCGGACGTGGAGAAGGTGGCATGGTCCGGGAGCGGAGTGGAGGGACGAGAAGGGGTTCGTGAGGAGGGAAGCCTAAGTGAGGACGAGAGCGAGGCGGCATCGGCGAGGGATTTGCCAGCATAAATTAGACGGATGCGCCGTTTCGAAAGGTCTGCGGGCAGATGTGTGCGGATGAGCTGCTTCAGAGCTGAAGTTGTAGAAATACTAGGCTCGGGAACGGAGAGCAGTAGATCTGGAAGAGAGGCAGAGAAGCGAATGGTCAAATCGAGCAGCTCAGGATCCGAATCAGGTGGAGCAAGGCTCATGGTAGGAGTGAGGTGTGAAGTCACTCCAGCAGATTTCCCAAATCAGCCCATCCTGGAACAACTAGTGGAGTAACTACTCTGTGTCCGAGATGCCCCAAGATAGTCGAGTACCTATCTCCTCTGCCACTCGGCTGTGATGCATCTCTCTTGCAGTGGTGACTTGCAGTGCTTTGGCTAAACGGTCGCACTAGTCAAGGCCCGTCCCTCTCCGGTTAGTCAAGTTATATGTAGTTAGTAATAACGGGCATAAGAGAGTTGGGAGAAACAAAGAACATTTCGAGATACATTTCGCAGTCACAAAATATGTTTAAGTGGTTTCGAGAGGCCCGTGAGATTTCTGCACAATGTATCAAGGTCAAATATCTTACGGTGCTGTGAAAAAATGAGGTGCATCCCAAGACTCGTTACCGCCGCCGCAAACCCATTGAAGTCATGCAGACAAGGTCCCATAAGTCTTGCCACCTTACCATAATGGAACTTAAGAAGATATGGTCGGAAAGGATCCTAGCTTGAAAGTACGTGTTGTTCCACTTGGACCAATTTCGGACGTCTGTGACTTAGTAGAGACTAAAGCCTAAAAATTTTAGGGTACAAAGTCAAGATTGAGAAGATTATTATACTATGTAGCATGACTACGTCAGGCCTAACGTAGGGTGGGCATCCTCATGTCATGATTATTTTGATATTAATTGTTTAACAATCGTAACGCATTCCTCCTAAGGCTGGACATGTTGACATCATCTACGCTAAAATTGCAGTGCAGATCAGAGCCTCGTGGCTTTCTTCTTGGCGCCGCATGTCACGTGACTGCGCACGTGCCACTCTGCACAGTATATCCTCCTGAGATAGAATTCCATCCATCCACTTCATCAAGTAATACATACTACTATGCACTGCACGGTTGCCTCATCATGTCTGGACATGTCTATGGAGCTTTAAACGGGTGTGCGGAAGGACACCTCTACATGGTGCAGGCAATGAGAAGAGTGATACATGAAGTGATGACGAAAGCTAACAAAACCTGACCGTTGGAGCAATTAGTAAGGAGTTAGGATACACCACCAAGCAAAAAATACACCAAAACCCGCAATGTTCATTGTCCGTTTACTCCTGGCAGCTCTGGAAGTCTGCACAGTTCCACTGTGAACAGGAATAACCGGCCAAAGTGCAGTTCAGACCGGCATTTGGACATAATGGCATTGTGCTGGATGTAGTTCAGATTATTGGCTCTGGCAGAAATCTTGTATGCATAACATGAGGCGTGGACAGATTCGTGTTGAAGGAGTCTGGTTCTCCAGCTATTTCTGGCTGGGTACACTCTCCTCAGTATCAACGACTCCGTACAGAGGGTTTCTATTTATCACTAGCTGCTTAGCCCCCAAGTCCTGCCCTTGATATCGTGCGCTGCTGGGTGACTTATATCGTCCAACCAGTTAACGTTGGTTTGGAGAATGATCTGAGCATCCTGGACAAGACCCCTGTTAAAGCATAGCCGTGGAGTCCCACCGACACCAGGAGCTTCCCGGTTGAGGTTCGGATCCGACATTTCAATTGAAAATACATCTGCCTTTCACCTCCTTACCATCATCTCTGCGCTGTTACTTATTACCATATCAAACAATCTTAGTCCTTGCGACGGCGATGACTGTCTACACCGGTAGCCATTCGATGCTTTTCCAGCCTCTGAAAATAGCAGATGGAAAGATCACGCTCAAGCACCGCGTGGTTTTGGCTCCTTTGACGAGAAACCGTGGCAAGCCCTTGAATCCCCATGGCACCACTCAGAATCCCAATAGGCTGTGGTATCCAGATGATCTCATGGTGGAATACTACCGTCAACGCACAACGGACGGCGGATTACTGATCTCCGAGGGAATTCCACCATCGCTGGAGGTACAGATGTTACTCTTCTCAAGCTTCGTATCATTATCATGTTTGCCGTGACAACCACTTGCTGACTAGTCTTGAACTAAGAGCAATGGCATGCCTGGTGTCCCCGGGATCTTCATTGAGGAGCAAGCCTTTGGGTGGAAGAAGGTGGTGGATGCCGTGCACGAGAAAGGCGGCTTTATATACTGCCAGCTGTGGAATGCCGGGCGGGCTACTATTCCCCAAATGACTGGCTCACCGGCAATCTGTCCCTCTGCATCAGTCTGGGATGATCCTACAGAGTATTACGCTTACCCGCCTGTTGGATCGAGCGGGAGGGTCCGGTATGCAGACTACCCTCCAATTACACTCTCCGTTTCCCACATCAACAAAACCATTCAAGACTATTGCAATGCTGCCCAGCGGGCGATGGAAATTGGCTTCGACGGCGTCGAGCTTCACGCGGGAAACGGTTATCTTCCCGAACAGTTCCTGAGCTCGAACATCAACAAGAGGACGGATGACTACGGTGGCACGCCCGAGAAGCGCTGCAAGTTCGTGCTGGAGCTGATGGACGAACTTGCCAAGGTGGTGGGAGAGGAGAACCTGTCGATTCGTCTGTCGCCCTTTGGGCTCTTCAATCAAAACCGCTCGGAGCAGAGGATGGAGACGTGGCATTTCCTATGTCAGCGTTTGAAGGGGGCGCACCCGAAGCTGTCCTACGTCAGTTTTATAGAGCCGGTAAGCGAGTCTGACACTTTTCTCGCAGTGTTATCTTCGTTTTCCCCTTTACGATACAAACCTCTCATCACAAGATCTGACGCGGTTTCTACCCCTTCACCAGCGCTTCGAGCAGACTTTCACCATCCCCGAAAAAGACGCCTTCCTTAAATCCTGGGGTCTCGCCGCAGTCGACTTATCTACTTTCCGTGCTCTGTTCGGCTCTACACCCTTCTTCTCCGCCGGCGGTTGGAACGACACAAATTCGTGGGGTGTCATCGAGTCCGGCAAGTACGACGCCTTTCTCTATGGTCGCTACTTTATCAGCAATCCAGATCTAGTGGAGAGGTTGAGAACGGGGCGAGAACTCACGGCGTACGACCGATCGAGTTTCTACGGTCCTTTCGAGGATAATAGCAGAGGCTATACAGATTATTTGACCCTAGAGGAGGAGGACGCCATTAGGGGAACCTAAAGGTAATGGAGAGATGGAAAGACGCTGTTTCTTTCTTGTGTCTGGCTATAATCTTTGCGTGGATTAACATTCGTATAGAATACTCTTTCAGCGCATCCCTATCAGGAGCGCCGAAAGGACAGCCTAGATGATGTGGTTGCCGGCCTTGACGAGGAGAATCCTTGTCAATGCAGTTTTTCACACCATGCGTAAGTGAATAGCCGAGTCGAGCATCGCAGGAGTTAGAGAATATCTAGATTGCGATGCTAAGGCGGAGAGCAAACTATGGTCGTTAGTAGGTTGAAAAAAGAATCATCGCTTAAGTGCCATTTTACCCAATACACATACACTCTTTGTTCTATTCGACGAAGCTCTGTGCTAGCATTCTCTGTTGTCTCCATCCCATCTTGAATTTCACAAGAAGTGATCCGAGCAGACCTGCTGTTGATGCAGGCACGACATTCCAAGAGTGAGATACGGTTTGCCCTGGCCCGAATCGACGAAGAGATAGGGGCCCAAGACCTCCGGGTGGGACGATGTGGAAGAATACATATTCCAATCATCAGGCTCACTCGCAGTAGAGCAATCTCCTGTCACTTGTCAAAAAAGCATGCATATAATTCGCAATGCACAGTAGTACTACGTAATATGGTCTAATTTGCTTTCTCGCTTTGAGCGTGTGGGCACCCAATCAGATGGCGCTGTGTCCAAAAGACACTATCTCGTACGGGTAACAGGTAACAGGCACAGATACATATACGTTTTATGCAATTGAGTACAGAGTCGTGCATCAAAAGTCGTCAATATACGCTAAAACTAGAGCGCCACTAACACACTCGATCTAAGCTTTAGCGTGACATAAAACATGTGTAATAGCGGTAAAGCCCTAGAGCTGCCGCAATAACTCCCTTTTTTTCTTGTATCCTTAAGGCCCTCTTTAGGTTATTGATGTGGCTCAGAGGTCTGTGTCAGTTAAGCTTTAGCCATCCGCCCCTTCTTTATACGTCCTTACTGACAACAAATAGTATGCTAGCACCATAAAGGCTAGCTATTACTTATCCTAATTAGCGTATATTGAAGACTTCTGATGCACCACTCCGACTCCGTACTCCCTCAGACCCATGATCACATTATACCGGTACCGCAACATGCAAGTTGTCGCGAGATCCCGTTGGTCGTTCTATTATTCCGACTGGCGAAACTCCTTAGGAGAGACACATTGGTGTGCGGGGTCAACAGCATGCTTGAAGCCCAGGAATGAAGCGGGTCCGAGTCATGTTAGCTGCTCAAGATAAATAGGCCGTGGATAAGACTCGGTTGAGTGCTTATGAATATGGTCGGAATAGACCGGTTTTTGCACTCACGGCTTGTTTGCATCCAAGATGATTCTGCTCTTCAGTAACGTCCCCATCGTTGTTCCTGTAGGCATTGCACTTCTCCTTGCGAGCATTTACAAATGTTTGATTTACCCTGCATTTCTCTCTCCACTGTCGAAAATTCCAAATATCCATCCTGTGGCTGCAATAACGTCATTATGGATGCTCTGGATCCGTTTTCGCAATGTGGAAAATGACACGGTTTTCCAAGCGCACAAGAAGCATGGTCCGGTGATCCGACTAGGGCCCAATGAAGTCAGCGTCAATTGCGTTGACGATGGTATCAAGACAATATATGGCAAGGGGTTTGAAAAGACCCCGTATTACTCCTTCTTTGCAAACTTCAAGTTCGTTTCGGTCTATAGTATCGCTCGTCAGGATACTCTATGCTCACCATGACTAGCGTATCAAACATGTTTTCGAGTCTCGAGTCAAGGCCACACGCTATCAAAAAGAAGCGAATTGCAAATATATATTCGAAATCGTACCTGCAGAATTCGCCGGATATAGCAGTGATCACCGCGGCCCTACTGATGGATCGTTTGCTGCCTCTTCTTTCACGGTACGCGAAGACTGGAGAGGCATTCGACGTCATGCCAATCCATCAAGCTTCCGCCATGGACTCGGCCACTGCGTATTTCTTCGGTCTTGAAAGCGCCACAAACTTCTTGCTAGATGAAAATTCTCGTCTGCATTGGCTCAAGGTCTACCTTCGGAGTCGACCGCGTGATTATATGTTCTATCTTCAAGAGCTGCCCATGCTTACGCGGTGGCTTGCAAACATCGGCTTTCATCTTGTGCCGCGATCGAGGGAGAAGTACAATGATATGGTAGATGCTTGGTGTCTCAAAATGTGTGACGGTGCCGAGAAAACCCTGTCCTGTGGCTGCACGACTGAGATTGTCCCTGGAAATAACCCGGTAGTCTACAGGCAGCTGAAAACCATTACGTCTAAAGAGGGATTGGCTTCGGATGCGAAAGTAACTCTGAATTGCTTTAAGTCCGAGGGCTCGACTGGTCCGACTGCAGTGCCTGATCTGCGAAACATTCGATCACCCCAGCAACTGGAAGTGGCAAGCGAGCTACTGGATCACATCGTTGCCGCTCACGAGACTTTCGGTACTACACTGACCTACATATTTTGGGAGCTATCCCGCCACCCAGAAATGCAGCAGCGTCTTCGTTGCGAGACCCTGTCCCTTGGTCAATACTTCCTTTTCCCCCAGGTTTCACAAAATCGTATAGGCGAGCTGCCCGACGCTAAATCAATCGATGAGCAACCTGTCTTGCATGCCATTGTCATGGAGACGCTACGCTTGCATCCCGCTGTGCCTGGCGGGCAGCCACGACACACACCGCCAGAAGGTTACATCAAACTAGGCAAACATTCGGACATCCCAGGCGGCGTTCGTGTTGGTGCCTATGCGTGGAATCTTCACAAGAATCCAGACGTCTTTCCAGATCCACTCGGATGGCATCCCGAGCGATGGATGCCTAGGGAAGAGTCACGACCATGGCAAGGTACAGATAAGAAGGAGCGCTGGTTCTGGGCATTTGGCAGTGGTGCGCGAATGTGTATCGGAAGCAACTTTGCGATGCAAAGTAAGTGGACCCGACCACCTTCATTTTATTCATGACACGGAAGTGAGGGTAAATTTAATAATGACGCCTTCAGTGATGAAATACATCGTGGCCGCTACGTACGTAAACTTCGAGACCAGTATCGTGGATGACGAGGGCATTGAGCAGGCGGACGGATTCATTGCTGGACCCAAGAGCGACAAGCTGATCCTCAGCATCCGTCCGGCGCATCGAAGCTCCCTTAACTCGGTGGCTCAGTGATCTGACCACGAGGGGCTCAAAACGATCGGTCGAAACACAGAGCAACCATTAATACCAAATGTCTTCACAATAGCGCGCGACAAAGCAGAAAGTGGACGGGTCCTCCATGCCCCAAAACACTGAGTCGCTCAAAAACACCTTTCTTAAGCATACATCTTCACGATTGTCAGCCTTAACAAAGAAAAACTGCATACTTCGTAACATTGTGCTCCAGATTCGTAAGGATGCTGAGGAACTCTGCTCTAAGTATTTCGTTCGCTTTTACCTTCCTTCGCCGGCAGGGCATCAGCATCATTGCCGCGTCGCAGGACCGTGTCCCTGTGCCACAATACGATCTCCCTCAAGAGGTCTTGAAGGCCGGAGAGGGCCAGATCAAGCCGGTGAGTGCGGCATTACCGCACTTTGGAAAACAGATTCCTCATGCGTAAAATGTGACAGTGAACAAACCAATCATAAGTGTAGAAAAGCAGTCGATGGCTTGCACGGAACCTTTTGACAAACCAAAGTCGACACGACAGGCAAGCAGAAACCAGATCGTTTACCTCATACCATTACAATCGACCTGCGGATTGTCGAGAAGGTGAATGCTGTTTCAACGACTCCGCGCTTCGATGTAAATCGTGGAGGTGCAATTACCGCACACAAGGGGTATTTCAGTCTCGACAATCAAACGTGGGGCGATCCGGTCGCATTTGGAACTTGGTTCGAAGATGGACAAGGTCAGATTCTCGTTATTGCGAAGATGGCACGAGAGTAGATAGGACTGACCAATTTTGCAAATAAATCCGGGATTATTGAACCACAATAAGCCCGATTCGTGTGCCTTTAAGTAAATTTGGGAACGAACGCAACGCAATTCATTAGCATCGTAGATCTTGACGTCTGGGCCACCGATTTATTTACACCCCCATCACGCTGCTTAGGCAGATGGGGAGCTGCAATCGATTTCCCCCTTGTATTTGTTGGAGTATGCGTAGACCCTACATCGGGCCACGTTATCAGCTTTTCGTCATTTCAACACGACAAGTTCGGTCAGAGTAATACCGTCGGTACAACCTTGACCGCTACGTGGGACCACACCACCGGAATTGTCAATCAAAAGCGAGTCCAAAAGACGAAACATGATATGTTCTGTCTGGGCATGTCATTCGATGCTAACGGTCGTATGGTTATAACATGCGGAGAGAGTGCGGGGGGGACAAGCATCTACAATCCGGTGAGCGATGATTGGATATCGGCTCCAGATATGAATATCCCTCGTGCATACTTATCAGGGTTCAACCACCTGCGCCGACGGCCGCATCTTCGTGATTGGCGGTAGTTGAGGGGCCTAGTGGGTCGAATAGGGGCAACAGAAACAACGAAATATACGACCCTGACCCCAAGATCAACAATTGGACCTTGCTCGATGGATGTCCCGCGGAAACCATACAGATGACGGAAGATTGGAAAGAGGAGTATCGCGCTGATAATCATATATGACTGCTGGGATGGAAAAATAACTCAGTCTTCGATGCAGGGCCTTCTAAAGACATGTACTGGATCACCACAACGGGGAAAGGCGCCATTCAATACGCGGGTTGGCGTGGAGCAGTCAGCATCATTGACTATGGTGCCATGTGCGGTGTTGCAGCAATGTACAATGCAGGCGAGGGCAAAGTTCTTACCGCTGGCAGGTGTGTTAGAAGTAGTAGCAAACAGCGTACGGAGGTGCCAATTCACTTGATTTAGTTACTCCTATCAAGAGGAGCATTTGCTAATACTAATAGCTATAGAAGCGCATTACTGTAACAGCTCAGAAACAGCATTTGGCGTTCAATTCGTATAGCAATGCTCACTGCCATAAATGACAGGGCGTAACAGTTACAAGAGCGTTTCGTGCGTTTTGTATGCGGGGACCCTTGTACAATCATGCTAATACGCAACTGATACGTATCATATACGCAGGGATTCTGACAAGGTGCACCCCAAAATAAGTACAAAGACGATGATGGCACTGTTGAAGGTAATGAGTCAACAAACAACGCTTTCATCATCACGCTGGACAAAATCAACACCACGGTTGATGTGAAGACCGCGGGGCCGAGGAATCAATTTCAACCGTACTTTCCACCATGCAGTGATTCTGCCCAACAGCGAGACCTTTCGTGGTCAATGGCCAGACAGAGGGCCACGGTTTCACGGAAGACACTCCACAGTTGGTGCCGGAAATCTATTCTCCGATTCAGAATAGCTGGACGCCCGGTGGCAGCCCACTCGATTGTACGGGTTTACCATTCTTTCGGCCTGCTCCTCCTGGACGTTACTGTTCGTGTTGGCGGCGGTGGCCTCTGCTCTTGCGATGTGAATCATTTTGATGCACAAATCTACACGCCTCAGTACCTACCGTAGTACTCATACCAGTCGGCGACCGCGCCAAACGACCCGTAATCATAGAGATCTCTGCTGCGACTGTGTGTGTGTCCGGCCGCCAGCCTCACAGTCACTACGGACAGTGACGTGGTCGGCGCAAGTCTGATTCGCTACGGCAATGCCACGCATTCATTCAATAATGATTTAGAGACGCATTGAGCTGAAGCTCCGAAAGTCCAGAACGGCTTTTCAACATGGCGTACCAATTCCTTCGGAGGGAGGTGTTGCTATTCCTGGGTATATTGGATGCTGTTCGTCAGCAACACTTTGAGAGTGCCGAGCGAGGCCATGAATGTGCAAATCCTGATCGCATAATGATTGATGATAGCAGTCCATATCAGAGATCTTTTCATAAGCTCTCTGGCTCATGTCTGGACGTTGGACAACCGTGGCAACAAAAAAGACCCACTCGACTCGATAGGTGGTAAAGCTTGTGGAAGACCTACGACAACCCGATGATTCTCAAAGTGCATAGGTTGCATGGCCCAGGTTGCTTTCGAGTCAGAAGTCAATACATATGTCTTTCGCTGCTTGAATTTTATTGGGTCTGACGGCTATCTTCCTACGAAGTAGATACTGGACAAAGAATGTGTGTCATCCGTGACTGATGCTCCGAGCTGCTCTAGAACTGCTTGCCCACTTGGATCTTATCCAATCACGTAACATAGAGGATCAAAACACAGACGACTGTATGAGGCTGGTAGCCTTGCATCGCAACAGCGGGAAACAAAGGACTACAGCACGAACGAATGCTTTTGCCCGAAGCAGCACTCACCTTAAGCACTGCCCAATGTGCCCGTCAACGCAGAGATAGACGGCACAAAGAAATACTCGCCACCCTTCATTGTTACCAGTTTGGGAAAATGCCCAAGTCCAGTATCAAGTTTCTTTTCGCTCGGGTCAAACATAGTGATGTGTAATTGCCCGTCATTGGGTGGCTGAGCGGTGAAAGGGTCGAACCCAGCGGTACTTGGTGCCTCGGGGAACTCAGGATTATTTATCCATATCTTCTGGATGAATTGGAACCCATTATCAATGCTGCTCTGGTAGCATGCGAAGAGAAGACCGCGTTTGCCGCTCTCATCGACAGAGAATTCGGATCCATACGGGATCCCATTTCGGACGATACGAGCGTTCCTAGTGAAGACGGAATCGTCGCGGGGATTCGTCTTGCGGATATGCGCAGCTAGCGGACAGACATTGTTGTTAGTAAATTTGAAGTCGTTGCTGGCAACAGGATCACTAGTCGCGTCTTGATCTGGGAACAAGACGATAGGCGCACCTGTCAGAACTCGTCAGCCAGTCTCTCTTGGCGACAGGATATGAGTGGTGAAACAGCCTGACACCTACCACTTTTCCATCGTCCCATCAACTTTGCACCACAGTGATCAGCGTTTGTGCAAGCTCCATCTTTGAATTTCTTGGTGAGCTCAATAAACCCCGGAACGTTTTGCTCGAGCTTGCGAAAGACGAGAAAGCTGCCTTCCACCATCCACGCGGGACGTTTTGTAGGGTCCACTCCCCGCAATGTGGGCTGCGGCCGCGGCGGGGCATGAACGTATCCTTATTGAAAGCCGCGTCCTCGTTGATGCCCTTCAACAAGGGTTGTGAGACTCCGTCTTCGAAACCGAAGCTGAGCAGGAATTTGTCAGTATCACGTCGTGTCAGGCAACATGCCAGGCTGCCTTACTGCTCACGGCCGTTGAGGCCTTGGTCTTTAGGTCTGACTTGACCGTCAACCCTTGAGTTCGCGCTTGTCGGGAGTGATTGCGCGGCTATGTCAGCGATAATATTAGGATAGCCAAGAATTTTCTTGATCTCGTCCAACTTGCTGTTGACTATTTCCTGACAATGTCCGGCGACTTTGAGTATTCCATGAATTGGCGATGCGTTGAACAGAGGATCCCAGCTGGTAGGAGCCGGGTCGTTCAAGTTTTCCGGACCGTCTCTTGCCATGCCTGCGGCAAACGCAGGATCTGACGTTGTGAGGTTGTCCAAGTCTAGTCCACGCCCAGTCAAGCCTGTTTGAATCTGCTCAAGTCAGTATTCGTGATGGATGTGCCTGTCGGAATAATCACCTTGTCCAAGCCTGTCTTTGAAAAAGCAATTAAGGCATTCGAGACGGGGACAATTTCATTTTTGGGCGCGCCATCCACTTTGACCCAGTCGTCGAGGACTTTTTTCAGACTTGAGATCTTCCCTGAGTTCCCCAAAGCAGCTAACGCGGTGGAGAAATCCTTCTCTTTGCCTGGCACGATCGAGAAAAAGTAGTACGTTTCCTTGATTTTTGGGAAGCCACGGCTAAACAAATCACCTTGCACATTGTCGAGGTTGACTGCCGCCATAATGATCAGGGTAAATGAAATAATGGTGCTGTTGCTCGTTTAGAACAGAGCTGCAGAGAAGCGCTTCCAGTAGATGAAGTGATTCGGTTTTGCAAACATCATGGGCACATGCATCCATTTATTTAAACCTGCTCCGGCCAAGGTCGCCAACCTCTCAACTTCCACCCAATCCTGGTCACTTGTTTTGAAGACATCCCAATGCTGACAGTCCTCAACGCGAGATGCATGCAGCCACATTCGAGAAGAGAAGTACAGCGTGGGGGGAGAGTTTACGGCATCTCAGAGCTTTTGGCTGCTGTAGGATTTTTGTAGTGTACATGTGAACTAAGCGCAAGCCACAACCATGGAATATGGGAACGAGCTCGCAACTTTATTGGCGTGATCGTTTTGCGAGTAGAGAATTTCTGAAGAAAATTGTCAGCTTCAGGCGAGGCGCCCATGGCTGGCTGGGGCTCTCAAGGCTAGCTGGCTTCTCAAGGCTGGCTGGGGCTCTCATGGCTGGCTGAGGCTCCATATCCGGTATGGAGCTCATTCTAGCTTCGTCTGGGAGTTCTCTCGTACATTTGGGGTGCAGATATAGATGAGGTGACATTGGACGATGTGAGAAACAGTACTGGCATCGCGGGCGTGTACGGACTTGGTGGCAATTCGAGTGACACCTGGATGCATCTGGAATCGATTGCTTTCAGGCTAAAGGAGTGCCTCCCAGCAAAATCCTGTGCTCTGGTCGCGACCTCCAGTTAGAATGGCGCCACGGCCTTCAGACAGTCGACTTTGGGCGTTGATCATGCGAAAAGCCCGTTGAGCAGCCTGTTAGACAAGAGACACGGTGATACCGGCCATTATAGACATAATGAATCGGTAGGAGAAAGATCTCCTGAAAGAATCGTGATGAAAGCAAGTAAAGTGGGCCTTAGGATGCGCCATGAAACGGACTAGTGATTGGCCGGTCTTATAGGCGTTGCTCCAAGAAGCCACGATACAAGTCAATTTGCAATACCACACCGTGGCTTCTCTTCTTCAGCACCCGCATTGCAGATACGAAAAGGCGGTCTACAGCAAATTCTGGTGAATATTGCCCAGACCAAGACCAATCGGCCAAGTTCTAGTTTTGTATCGGCATCGCGAACGAACAGTGATGTCCTGCACCGGTTAACATCCATTATTATGGTGGATTGAGATGATTGATTTGATGATGAGCTGGCCAAGGTTGCCCGAGAGCAACGAAAGCTAAATATTCTAACGACGCCAAGCAAATCTAACACGTGACATCCATCCTCGAGTTTCAGCTGCCTCAGTATCAGGTTGTCAGCTTCTATGAGCAGCGACCGATGAAGTCTTTCTCCACCTTGGTAAGGTGAACATCATACACCACCTCGCTCCGTCCACTGACTGCGACCAGATCATCAAAAAGCATTCAGCCTTGCTTGAAGTCAAGCAGGAAGAGCAGATCCCTGTCGACGCCGACCACAGCATAATGTGTAAGTTCGAGGCGGGCAGCGATGACATTTTTGAAGCAGGGTCCCCGGGCCACCGGTTAGGCGAGTATGTCGCCATGACACACCGGTCGAGTGCCGTTTATCGGACTTGGTCCGCGTGTACTGCAGCTTACGCTATGAGAAGCCAGACCACTATCCTCGACTATTAGAATCTGCTGTTGGAATACAAACTTTGCTTTGGCAATTAATCCCATACACTTCAAGCAATGGCCTAGCTCGTGAAAGGCTAGTCTATCTGTATTCTTACCTGCTTCTATCATTCTACGAGATATAATATAGCAATTTGAATGTAGCATCTTACCCTATCATGATCTTCTTGATATACTTTTCTAAATAACAGATCTCATCTTATTTCTTGGATACCTCTCTTTTGTAATCGTTCACTACTATCTCAGCGATAATGTCAGCCGCTGAGTCTGTTGGCCCTTTATACTAGCCTAAAGACGTTGTGGTGCTTGAAAATGTTCAGCGTTGAAAATTGTGTCTTATAGAAGATTGTAGCTAAGCTTTGCGGTGAGGAGAAAAGGGAGATAAGAGAGCAAGAAGGCAGATTTCCCAGGAACTGTGGGTTGCTTATCCTTCTTTGCAAGTATATATGTTAAAGAATATAAAAGTAGTACTTTGACTGTATGATAGGACAAGAAGAGAGTAAGAGATAGAGAGAAAGCGAAGATATGAGAGAGAAGGAGAAGAGAGGGTATCTTGTTAAGGACGGAAGGGAGGTAAGAAGAAGACTTAACACGGAAAACCCTTCCCTCTCCGTTGAACAGGGTCGCGCCGAGCGGCTACGTGGGAGATCATTATAGAGAGGCCATCGTAAGGCCGGATTATGCAGCGCTCACCCACAAATCACCTTAGGGTGCCCAGCGGTGGGTGAGTAGTGGGAGAGCAGAGGTGAGCTGGTGATGAAAGCGGCGTTGAGCGATAAGGGATGAGTGTCGAGGTGTGTGCCGAGCAGATTTTACTACTACGTACGTACTTCACTTGTGCTACCAAGATCTCTAGTGCAGACAAATTGGTACTATACCGATTTCAGCTTAGCAGTAAGCTAGACTGCGGTGCCCCAGTGCTTAAGCTTCTAACTTAGGAACTTTTTTGAAGCAATAACAATCATCTTTGGATAAATCCTCTCACAGCCAGATTGTTGTGCTCTCCCCTGTCCTGGTTCTCTTCAGAGGGAAACGCAGCTCCCTATGTCCACCTAGTCTCCCTGTTCGGCTTCTTGAGAGGCGGCTAGGGCGCTCTTTCATCCAATTGAGTCGACAGTCGGGGCTGCGCCTATCACTTCGATGAATCAAATTCTGCTATCCGAGCAACTCTCTCGTCTTTAGGATGGCCGGTTTTGACCACAAACACAAGCGTTGAGCTAGCGTCACACAGGAGCATTTTAATCCTGAGGACGTCAATTCGGCATTCAGAAGCTGCTGGAAAAATGTTCTCTCGAATCGACTGCGTACTGGAGAGTGGAAAATTGATCGAATCATGTGAATCTCTGGTCAGCTCCTCGATCCCATTATCACCTAGTCCTTTATTTCATGATGATTTGTAAAACCGCTAAACTAGAGTCTTTGACCTTCCTGGAATGAAACTCAATTGCACACGTCAGGCTGATCAGAGCTTTTTGTTTCTTCTTTCTAAATCCTCCAACCAAGCAACATACTGACATGACTCGATGCCACAGGTCCTCCCATGATCCCCGAACGTGAGTTATACTCTAGCCTGAGCTCTCCTGTCCCTTTCCATGATGATCATTTCATTCAATATACGCTGGAAATTACCGGCTGAGATCGCAAGATCGACGACGAAATCAAAAGGCTTTTCCTGAAGAAAGACAATACATTTCTCAGTTCTCGACTCTGTACATCTGGATGCGAAGCTGATGATTCACACAGCGAAGGAGATGCATGACCAGACAGAGCTGGCTAAGCTCCCCGGATCGTATATTTGGTAAGACTCACTTTGTCATACCTACCCTCTACCATCCTGATGAATGGCACTGGGCTCCGACAGGCCCTAAAATGGTCTGGTCATGACAGATATGCCCTCTTGAGGCAGGCTTAGAAACCCTCGCCCACTGAATTTGGAAGCAAGACGATGCATCCCGTATCATTCTTGCGCTTTTCCATGCTGACACCCTACGCAGATACCATCAACACAAGCGCCGACATCATCACTCTACCAAATCAGACTCTATGGGCAATTACGTATGAGGTGAGCGGATACTTTTACTCCAAACGCATTGCTTTCGTGATGAACATCTTAGATGACGAGTCTTATTCGATTCCTTCGTTGCAGACAACACAACTTATACCATTCATGCATTTCTGATATTGCTTGCTTTCGTATCGCAATGGATTGATGAACCCTGAGGCGCAGAACTGACACCAGCATCAGATGATTTAAGCATCCCTTTCTTGAATCTTAGAACCTTCAATATGTAAGGCGGGCTTTCCTTTCACCAATTTCCCATTTCACCTGATGAATCGACATTACAAAGACAAGCATATGTCCGAGTCAGCAACTTGTTGATCAAGACGAGACCGTCCTCCCTGATCCGCAGATCTATCTTCCTCTCCTGGAAAACACCACCAACACGGAGAATTCCTGACACGTACTAGTTGAAAACTCCTTCCATCTCCCTCAACGCCTCCAGATCTAAATCTACAGTAAGTTCTGCTTCATTCCCTGACATTTCGCTGCACACCCTTGGTTCTACCTCTCATGATGATTTATTCTACAATCACGACGGTCAACCTAGCTTCTCGGAAGCATTGATGACCACCGCCCTTGACCGGGCTTAGATCTGATCTTTGGCAATCCTCCTCTGCAGAATATCTCCCGCTGTCTGAACGTAAGCTAATCATCCTCTTCGTTAGGAACAGGCCTTCCTGCCACTTCTTGAAGGATGCGACCTTGCAAACTGAAGGCCAAATTGGTAAGTCCACACCCCATCGAATCGCCTCTTATCACATCGCAGCTCAGCGGAAAGGCTGTCTTACTACTGCCTGCCTTGGTTACCTGGTCTTCTTGTTTGGAACTGCCAAGCAACTGCTCAATCATGTTGTACGGAGGGGCGAGAGACATGATTCGGTTGGCGTAGATTGGCGTGAACTCTTGGCAAGTTGCAAGTAGAATAGTACAAAGTGTGATTGTGGTGTCAGAGATCGCTCTTTTCTTCCTAGTGATTCTTGAAATATTGCTTTCAACATATATATATCGTGTCCAAATACTCCACCACCCAGCCATAACCTGTCAGACAGCCACCAATATCCAAACCCATTGATTCACTCCACATCCTCCAACAGCTCCTTATCCCAACCCCCCTCCTCCACCAACCAGGCCCTAACCCTCTCCCTCGTGCCGGCAATCGCACTCCCCAACGCCTCGGTCCACTGCCCCTCCACCGTGGCCACACGATCCTTCAGATCCGCCGTGAGGGCCCTTTCCTCCACCTCCCTCCTCTCCTGCGCCTGACGCTTGACCTGCTCCTCGAACAGAGCGGCCGCTGCATCCTCGTCCGTTCTGCCGGCCAACTGCCCCACCTCGGCCACCCTGACCCTGGCGACCATGACCCCGGTCCGGACCTCGTGCAACAGACACAGCAGATTGACCTGACTCTCGATGAACTGATACGCGCTCCTCTCCGCGTGGCGGAGCAGCGAATAGAGATACTGCATCGGGAACTGGCGGTACGAGGGGTTCTCCTGGATCTCCTCGCGTGGGATCTGGATCCCACTCCACCCTTGTCCTCCACCACCACCCACACCGTCTACCGCGGCCATGGTCGGTGTCGCGTGACGGTCTTGTTGTTGTTGTTGCGGATTCCGCTCCGGGATCTTCAGGCAGATGGCCAGCAAACCCGGTGCGATGTCCCAAAAGGCCGAAAGCTGGGCTTCAACGCCGCGAAGCACGTTTTCTTCAATCACCGACAGAAAGGATTCGTGCCGCTTCAGGACGGCGGCTTCGAAGGCGGTGGTTCGGTCTTGGGTGTCTCTTGTAAAGAAGACGGTGGTCTCGCGGATTTTATCCTTGTTGCCTGATTGCTGGTAAGGGAGCGTGACGATGGTTTGATATTTTGCGTTGCGCTCGGTAAGCAGGCCGAAGACTTCACGGTGGAGTTGTTCACGGGCTTCGAAGAGCCATTTTAGCTGAGTCAATTGTTCGAGGAGCTCGGGCCGTTCGTCGCCCGCAGATTGGGTAGCGTTGGGGTTGTGGAGTTGGGCGTCGGAGAGGAGTTGGGATTGCAGCTCGGTGATGTGGTGCGTGGTTTTGGAGATACGGTCGTTGAGGAGATCGTGTAGGGGGTTCAGGACCACGTCCTGGAAGGAGTCGAATTCCGCCTGGACCCGGCTCTTCTCTGCCGCCTGTTCTTCGCTCTTCATTGCTGCTTCGGCCTCGGCGGCTTCGGCGTAGGAGATGCTGCCTTCTTGGATCTGGGCTTGGATGTTTGTTCTGAAATTTCGCCGGTTCTCGGCGATGCGGGCCTGGTTGTCCTTTGAGAGGGCTTCAATGCTGGCTTTGTAGCGGGTGCGACGAGATGTTAGCTCTGTGAGGTCGGAGACAGTGCGGACAAGGGTTCGATAGGAGAGAAGATCCGGATGTTGGTTTTGGACGGCAGGATAGTGGCGTGGGTACGGCGGAGGGAGCGTAACCAGGCGTGAGACGTCGAGGGCGGCGCAAGGTGATGGAAGCGGTGGTGGCATACCAGGCGTGGTGGAGGGCTCAATCTCATGCAAACCCATCTTTTCAGGAGGGTACTCATTCTCTCCGTAGCCGATTTGGCTAGGTTCGGGATCGTGAAAGTCTTCACCTTCCATTGCGAGTTGAACTTCATGTAAAGGGAGGCCCATATATTTCGATTCGCGCTTGGATCGTTCTACCCGTCTTGTACCACCCCCCACTTCTGAGCCAGTCTGCGATTCCCACCACCGACTCGGTGCTCGACCTCTAGAAGACTGTTCATCATTCATCGACATGCTGACAATTGGTGAGAGGGCAGGCTGATATCCACTCCACCACATGGAATCTGGTCTCCCCTGATCAGGCCGTGTAGGCTCTGGCCGACCCTCTGGGCACTCATTTCGGGAGTGAGGTGATGATGGTTCAATTGGAGAGGCGGCAGTTGTTTCCTGGAGACCGCTAGATCTGCGCGGCGCATGGATATTGAGCTCGAATAATCTATCACGAGTTTGGCGAGGATCAAAGGAAGGAAAAACGGCGGCATAGCGCCGTCTTCGAACCCGTGACTCTGCGAGGATGTATTCGGAGAAAAGTTGAAGTCTGTCCTCGTCACTTTCTGCATATTGTTCCTTTTCCAGAAACGTTTTCGTCCGGTCAAGGCAATCGCGGACGAAACTATCGTGATCTAGATGGATGGTCCTCGTAGTATTCGAGCGTGCTGAGGACGGCCTTCTTGGCGACAAGGGCGCGGGTATTCCAGCGACTTCATTGGGCATATGTAATATATGTGAGATAGGCCTGATTTGCAAGTTCGAAGGAGGAATCAATGAGGACTTGGGCGACCTTGCTTGTTGAAGTGGAGGAGTTGGTAAAGATCTAGGAGGTAGGGAACCTGCCGTGTTTCTGACCAATCGTGGCGAAGACAGACCGTCGGTAGGTGAAAAAGGAGGCGTAGGGCTTGACCCATCGATCGACATCTGAGGGCGTCCCGAACCCGGTCTTGGGGTGTTGCGAGAAGATCCAGTTGCGGAGTCAACGTGCAGGTCTGGTAAGGTACTGCCATGGACTTGCTCATCCATCGTAGCACTGCGGGAACTTCTACGCGTTCTCGGCGTCGACTTCGTAATGGTTCTCCTTCGGCTCAGACCACTTCCACCGGCTGGCAGTGTCAAATCTGCAGGGGTCACATCAACTTTAGCTTCAGCCCAGGGATTGGTGCTAGGACCGATCGCATTGGCTTCGTCTGCTTGACAATCACGGGCACTTCTGCTCTCACTCCTGCGCTCCCGAATCCCTTTCGCCGACGGAGCCCTTTTCGTGTTAGCTGGGAAAAACATGCTGGTTGTATCTGAGCGCGATGACGATGGTGTAGCACAGTTTGATATTTCAACAGGTGAAAACGTAATTGAGCTACTGGGCCGAGATGAGCTTGTAGCTGAGTCATTTTCAAGACCCATTGTGTCGATCCAACCTGCCGGGGTTGGAGGCACTGGACCTAACACAGTACCCGTCTGAGGTGCTTGTCGGGTCTTAGGTCGATTAGCTGGGGTGAGGAGGTGCCTTGAAAATCTATCTGACGCGCCACTCGCACTTTGAGACCTTGAAGAAGATGGTGGTGGCCCAGGAGGGGGCCCAGGCAGGGGCATCCCTGGTTCCCATGTGGTATGTCGCGTGGGTGATTTACTTGCCGAACGACTACTTGTCCTTGAGGAGACTCCTAGACCGATCGCACTCGTAGATACAGCTCTTCGAGACGATGGCGGTAATAAGAGTGTTTCTGCCGTGTTGACTTGTGCTCCAAAAAAGGGTGTGCTTTCTGAATCCTGTTGGGGCGATGCCAAAGGACGAGCGGGTACTGGTGAAGCCACTGACTTGCCCTGACTGTCCACGGATGGTATGGTCACTGTTGCGTCTGTTCTGCCGACAGCAGTACTCGAAGACGAACGCACAGCACGATTTATCAAGGGTGGCGGCGGTGGAAGGGCTGATGGCCATGCATTACTCCCTGTACCAGAGCTATATATCATGGAGGCTGGGCGAGATCGAGCTTGCTGGGTAGCATACGCAACATCTGCTGGCACTCCGGTGGTGGCACTGACGGGAGTATTGTACGGAGACTGTACAGGAGATGCGGTCTCGGCAGGTGAGATGACTAGGCTCGAGCCTGCTCTTGACCGTGGGTCTTGTCGTCGTGGCGGGGAGTAAGGAGGTGGGGCTGCAGAGTCTGCAGAGAGAATTGTCAGTCAGTTCATGCTGTCCACAAAGAGAGCAACGAGGCGCGTCCCAACAGGAGAGAAGTAGCAGCACTTACCATCAGATTGCTGCTGCTGACGCGTGTGCCCACCTTGCTGTTGGACATGAGAGAGAGAAGCAGCTCCAACCTGGGGTGACCTTACAACAGGTACCCATTCCTGAGGATTGTATGCACTCGTATAGCCACCTGACTGTCTTGACGCCATTGGCGATGTCCCTCTTAGTGCGCCCCCTGGCGAGGAAGTGTAGGGTGTGTAGGGTGATGGGTTGACCTGAGAAAAGGGACTGGACAATGAGGTTGTAGGAGTCGACATGGCACCAAATAGACCACCTCCCTGGAGCTGGAGACCGCTCAAGGATGTTGTCAACGATGGGGGCTGAGGGACATGATCCCGGCGACGGGGAGATATGGGACTTTCTATGCGAACATGATGAGCACGACCTGAAGGAGGGGGTGGAGGACGAGGTGCAGCAGCAACAACAGCCTGCATGGGACTCATCGACAGATCGACGCCCAGGGAGCTTCTGCTGGGCGCTGAGCGGCTATTTGAGGTATGTAAGCGACGTTGTTGCAAGCGGTCAACGAGTTATTGTTGACTCGACTTATGAGACACGAACTCCATAGGCGTGCATATGTTTCCATCCCAGCTCTCAACACGTCTGCGTTGCACAGATATCCTTATACCCTGTCCAACAGGCGAATCATTGAGGGGGATTTCAAATCTAAATGGAGAAATGCAATTGAGAATCTTGACGGACAATGGAATTCAAGTTCTCGTATATGGGCCAGCACCAGCTGACGAAGGCTCTATTCTTTGCAACCAACCCAGGCTAAGTATTACCATTCGAGCCGTGGTGTTGAGCTTAATGCAGAAGGCAGAAACGGCAGAAGCCTCTATCGACGGTGTTGTGTGGCGAGCAAGGACTTAGAAGCCTATTAAAAGCATGCCCTAGGCGGACCTAGAGTTGTATTCAAGCACGTTCTCCCCAGTTCTCCCCAGTTCACCCCAGTTCATGGGCTGCTGGTCACTCCTCCCGGGATCCTTTGACGGGTTCCTTGGCCGCATTAACTACTACGTATTCTTGTATTCTTGTCCTGCAGCCAGATCCTAGTGGATGCCGCCCTTCTTCTTTCTCCCACAATGTAACTGGCCTGATTGGCTGTACCCAACGCACGGATGCAGGGCGGACAGTTGGTCTCATGCATTCCATCCCAAGCGGACCACACGCCAGGCTATCTTGGGTCATCTAACAAAGTTACCCTTCCTAGTTATCCCGTGTCCTGGCGGCTATTTAGCAAGTCGCTCTTCGAACGGCGTTGTGGCGTTGTTGCGACAAATTTGTCAGCAAGGCTGGCACTTCGCTTGACTTAAATTGGATGCTTTCCAGGTAACGAATATATCGTTCACCAGACATCAGGTATGAGCGTACTACGTAAAGGCAAATGATGGGAAAGAAGTGATGTGGAGCAACTAATCTAGCGTTGGTTGGTATTGCTAGATGTCTTTAATATAAGCCTGTTAGATGGAGGATTAGGTGATGTCCTCTAACTGGTTAGGATTGCCATGAGCTTTCTTACTCTGCTCAGAGTGCTGGCTTGGTGTATGGAGACGAACCTGCGAAGCGAACTCCCACCAGGACGCATGAGCCGCACTATCATATCGCTGATCCTCGACCGCCAACGCTTGACAGAGCCTCCTTCTGTACGGATGTAATATTGTTCCTCGGTAATGCTTTCAGGGGCGTCTTCGTTGGCGAAGGTAGGAAGCCAATACCGACCAGGTAGGCAAGATAGATGCCGATGGTGTTTTTGCTCACACCACTTCCTCCAGAAACATCCTCCCCGGTCCACTCTTGGTCCGCATACAGAGCTTTTTCCGCGTTCGTGTCATCAAGCTCAGGCGCCCGGGTGTTGGACGGTAGGTCGTTGGCGACAAATGTGAATAGCGGCATCAGGGCCAGCTGCTCATCTGAGCTTGAGGCCACGCTGTTGACATAGTTCTCAAGAGCTCCAGTCCATGGGATATAATCTGAAAGTGGCACCTCATATCCGTATGTTTCAAGTGCCGCGAGAAATTGATTAAAGCGCAGACGAGGATGACCTGTTACATGAGCGACTCCAAGTGGTGTCGTTGGAGGTCTGAAAGCACAAGCCACCACAACTCGTGCAACATGATCGACGGGGACCATGTTTACGGTGTTGTTGATGTTAGGACGACTCGCCAGTTGGATGCAACCTTTCATCATGCGAATAAGAAAATCGTCCGTATTCGTCACTGACACCAAAGTCATCAGTTGCAGATCACCCATGCATATTCGATTCTTGCTTACCTCCGGACCTGGAATCTCCAGTCACATATCCTGGCCGCACAATACACCCTTGCAAACCTCTCCTGCCTGCTTCTCTGACAAGATACTCGGCCACCCACTTGCTCTGGCCATAGCCGGTGCCAAGGCCAGTTCGGCTGCCAGAGAGATCGTCTGCTTCACTTACACCTTCGCCCCCTTGTGAGAGAATCCTTTGAGACTCAAGAACGTAATAGTCCGTGTCGATGACGCTTGTTGAGCTGACAAATGCAAACTTTTTCCCTTTCCCTGCTGCACAGAGCTCTAAAGCGTCAATAGTGCCACGGACATTTGAAGGTTTCAGAGAAGCGTATGAATCGATCCAGTGTACTCGGGCACCATTGTGGATCACAACGTCGATCCTTTCTGTCAGAGTCTCCCACACATCAGGAGCTAAGCCGAACTTGCTGTCACCTAGGCTGCCAGCAACACATTCCAGCCGAGGACTCCACTCGTCCGACCAAACGCCATAAGCCTGGCATGTTATTTTGATCCGCTGCTTCGCCTTCTCCAGCGTTTTTGCTCGTACCAGTGCAATGACCCTCACTGCAGGGTTTTGCCTGGTAAGAAGATCTCGTAGAATATATGCACCAAGAAAGCCTGTGGCTCCAGTCAAAAAGACAACCGGTGATTCGTCACTATCAAATGCTGTTACAATGGGAAAGTTGCTAGGCAGTGCTTGAGCCAGGAGGGCGGCGTCTTCAGCATAGACTATCTGAGAGACGTCAGTTCCGTCGCATGGATCTGCGACATGTTTGACCTCTTCAAAAGGCTCGCCACTTGCTGCTTGATCGATGACGGCCGCCATGCTCTTCAACTTGGGGTCACTATAGATCCTGGCAATGCTGATATCTACGCCACGCCATTGGCGTCGCACGAAGAAGGGTAACTGTTGGGCGTGCATACTGGTGCCTCCAAGTTCGAAGAACGAATCCTCAGCTTTCAACGTCTTCACAATAAGTCCCGGAATCAACTTTGCCCAGACTTGTGCAAGAGTGAGCTCGGTCTCCGACAATTGTGTCAACGCCGAAGATCTTCGACGTCGTCCGGCAGTAAGAGCGGGACTATCAGGAAATGGAAGTTTTGGCTTGTCAATCTTGCCGTTGGGGTTCAATGGCATAGACCGCATTGGCACAATGACCGACGGGACGGCATAGACGGGTAGTTTACCTCGCAGATACTTTTGGATTTCCTTCTGCAAGGGTTGAAAACGTCTGATCCTGTCACCCATGGACCCGTCATCGGCTTCGTCTTTGCGACCTTGGGATGCCAGCCATCTATGCCATTCTTTCATGTTTGGCACCACATAACTGACCAGGGTTTGCTCCTCGAATTTGTCCCTTCGCACCAATGTGACGTTCTCCCTAATAAGAGGATGCTGAGAAAGATGTGTATCTATTTCGCCGAGCTCAATACGGAAGCCTCTGATTTTGACCTGGTCGTCCGCTCGCCCAGAACACTCCACGTCGCCAGTGGGTGTATATCGACCAAGATCTCCGCTTCGGTAAAGTCTATCTCGTGGTCCAAAATAGAACTCCCGCCATGGTTCTAATTTTGTAGACGATGCAACAATGGCGAGGTCCTCCTCTACCCACTTCTCAGGATTCACAAACCAATTCTGGACGAACTTCTTCTCCGTTAAGTCAGGTGTGCCTAAATAACCTTCAGCAAGTCCACCTGCTCGAACATATATTTCTCCAACTTCGCCCACAGCGCAGATCTTGGTACGATCATGTCGATTGACCACAAGCAGTTGGACATTGTACATGCCCTTTCCCGCAGGTATCACGTCCTTCATTCCATCTAGATATCCTTCACGCGACACGAAACTTGGAATCTCAAAATAGCTGACAGCACGTTGAGTCTCGGTTGTACCGTACATGTTGACAATGGAGACGTTGGGCGCAAGGCTCTGCAACGAGCGACAGTCACGTTTGATCAAGATATCACCAACGAAGAAAGCATGGTGCAGTTTGTCAAATTGCGCAGTGGCCCCTCCAACTAAGATCTGGCCCATAGCTGGGGTGAGGTGAGTGACCGTCGCTCCATGGGCCTTCATCCATTCAGCCAGGCGCTCATTCTGTATGTCCTCTTTTGATGGCACAAGAAGCTGTGCGCCGAGGAAAAGTGGAGTAAACATATCTCTTTGTATTGGATCATGAGCAATGCCACTAAGCATTGTGAAGCGATCATCACTGGAAAGATTGAACGTCTCTGCCATCCAGTCAAAGTAATATGCTAACGAGAAATGCCGTCCACGGACACCCTTGGGTTTACCTTCTGAACCTGATGTAAAGGACAAGGTCGGAGTAGAATCGGGCCCTACAACCACACCAGGGCTTCTGGTTTTGAGCTGCAAAACTCCTTCAAAAACATCTATACCGTCTCGAGCTCCTCCTAGCAGTGTTCCACCATCTTGTAGTGCCAAGGCTGCAACCTCTGTCCTTAGAACGAGATTTGCATCAACAAAAGATCTAACCTTTTCTGAGAGCTGGCCAGCTTCCTTAGTAGCCTTTTCTATGATGATCAGCGCTTTGGGCTGTGAGACTTCGAGATATATGTTTTGTCTGTCTGGTGGATAGGCAGGATCCAGGACAGAGAACGTTGCTCCCGCCTTGAGAATGCCCATTACCGCCACTACTAGGTCAACTCCACGATGTGAGTACACCATCACAACTTCTCCGCGCCTTATGCCGGATTGAACAAGGTGGTGTGCAAGAATATTCGAGGCTTCATGAATGTGCTTGTAGGTGAAACTCCGTTCAGGCGATGCACCAGACCTGGTTTCTATAACACATAGTCTATCTGGGTGTGTCTCAGCATTCGCAGAGAAGATATCGTGTATTGCACCACGGAAAGAAGACCATCCCAGATCGCACGTCGGATCTGGGAGGAGAGCTCTTTGCTCATGGGTCAGGAATTCAATTTTGCCGATCCCATGGTTGGGTTTGGAGGAGGCATTTTCCAGAAGTTGAAACAACTGGGAAAGGATAGTAGCAATTCTAGTACTGGAGAACAATCGCTGATTATACTGAGCTTGCAACCCTAAAGCACCATCTGACGACAGGTTTACATTGAGAACCAAGTCTACCGGTGTTGTCTTGTCAATAGAGAGAGACAAAAAACGAGAATTCAAGAATGCAGCAAACCTATAAAGCACTGGGACTTTGAGGTAGTTCCGAATTTTGTCTAAAGGTTCGATGGAGGCAGAATCTTGCTGCAACGTCTGAGATTCGGTAAGCAGGTAGGACACGATTTAGCCCTATGCACCTACTTCCTTGATCTTTGATGAAAGGTGTATGAAAGTCTCCTCCGGGGATACTGGTACACGGAGAACAAAAGGCTGCCCGTCTGGCTCGATATTTGTCCCGACTGCGATGTCTTCGTCACCGGTAAGGCGGCTGATTAGTATCACGTATGCGGTCAAAAGCAACTCGAATGGCGTTCCCAAAGCATGCAAGTTGCGCAGAGCATAGGTTAAAGACGCAGTAGCAGTAAGACTCTCAACAGCTTCAATAGGCCTTTTCAACCGCGCTGCTTCATCCGAGGAAGGTTCAGGATAGTCGCGAGTCAATGGCGTCACGGTGAGACCTTCCAGCTTCTGCAACCATCTCTCAATGTTCGGAGAAAGGCCGTTTGCTTCCATTACCACTGGCGGCATTGCTTCTATAAAGCTGAGCCAACGAAATACCAGTCAGCGATTATTCTTCAGAGCTTCTCCAAGATCTCGATGTACTATAATTAAATTTGCGCTATGCCCAACTCGGCGGGAGCAATAATTCTCCGCAATGCTCCCTTTCTGTGCTTATGCCCAAAGTAGTCCAATCCTGGTCTTTCCGTCACTAGCTGTGTTGCAATTGCTTGCGTAATTCTGTTGACCCGGACTGTCGTTCTTGTGAATCATTCATCGTTCGTGAGCCATGTATTGAGCCAGCGCTCAGGAGCCCTCGGTCTCCCTGGCACCAGTGCTTGACCATGGCTCCTCGCCGATTCTCTACCTATCTGCTGCTTGTTGGCTTCTTTTGTGTCCTCCTCTTTCTCTACTCGTCCAGCGAATCTGTATCCATACCTTCAAGTGGAGCCCTGCCCCAAAAACCATCATCCTTCACTGGAAAGGTACCGAAGTTTAATATTCCCTCATTCCACTTCTCGTTTCGAACGTCGTCCCATAAGCCACCAGAGCAGCGAAACAGTACCAGCGGCGGAAGCTCGTGGTATAGCGACTGGACATGGCTCAACCCTTTCTCTTCCTCGATCACCCTTGATGAGAATCGATCCGTCCTACCACCCCTCGCGCCTAGACCACCTGTCTACACATACTATGATTCCGAGTTGCAAAAAGATAAGAACAGCATTAAAGTTGACCAAGAGCTGCTGTCGACGTGGCGGAGAGCATGGTGGGCGCATGGGTTTCGGCCGGTAGTCCTTGGAAGAGCAGAGGCTCGGAAAAACCTCTTGTTTGAAAGAATGCAAGGAATGGTCCTCTCCGAGAGTCTGGACTTCGAATTGAATCGGTGGCTGGCATGGGGGCACATGGGCAGTGGCCTATTGGCAAGTTGGCATTGTGTTCCGATGGCAGCTGGCGACGACTCCCTGCTCTCCTACCTGCGGAGAGGTCAGTATCCTACACTGACAAGGTTTGAGGGGCTCGGAACTGGTCTTTTCGCTGCTGAAAAGACACATATTAACGACGCTATCCAAGAGATCCTCTCCAGTTCCAAAATAAAGACAGCAAAGACCATCCTGGAGGTCTTGAACCTTGAGCGGTTCAGGACCGAGCAAGCATCGGCAATCGCGCAGTATGATTCTGCGACAATCACAGGCAAATATCCTGCGCTAGCTGAAAAGATAGTGGCAACACCGGACGGAGGACGCCTGGCGTTGAACAAAATGATCAATTCGCACCTTCATACTACGTGGCAGAACGTATTCAGTACCGGCATCGCCGTACTGAAACCGCTTCCTGCTCACACTACAGCACTAATCGCCCCATCCTTACACCTTGCCAACCTGTTGGCACAATGCCCTGAATCCCTGATACCCTCATCCTGCCCTCCGAATCGGCCGAAGTGTTCTCCATGTGTCTCATCGCGGGTTCAAGTCACAACGCCTCCGAGCTTTCGCAACACGTCTTCGCTGTATTCTATTGGGACAGTTCCGCACCCATATACCATGATCACCCTGGACAATCAAACTGAGGCTATCACAGTTAAGCATATCCGGCGCTATACTACCAGGGATCCATGGCTCCTGGCAGTAACCAAAGACATTCTTGGGTCGGGTAGAGGCGGACCAAGCAGAGTCGTCAGCTTCAAGGAAGTTGTGGCATCAGAGTATGGCCGTAGTCGGAGTTTATGGCTCACTACCGAGAAACTTCCTGCTCCCTCCTCTGAATCAAAAGATGCACCCTTGCCAGAAGAATGGCTGGTCGAACTGGACTGGCACTTTGGATTCTCGATTCCTCGAGCCCCGATTCCTCATGGTGAGTCCATACCGCCCGTTCCCGGACCCGAGCGATGGCCCAAATCCAAACCTGGCCTTCCTGAGGAAAAGAAAAAGAGCTATGATCCTGAGCCGCCTACAGACATTCAACTGGCGATCGAGGTCGAATTGCTCGATAAGGCCAGACGGGTGGTCAATACCAAGGATACCAGATTGGGGCAAATCAGGAACGTGGCTGAGGCGTGGAACATGGCTGACACAGAAGCATGGCGGTTTGCAAGAGCTTATCGAGCAAGAAGTGTGGTGGAAAGATTAAAATGGGAAGAGGAAGAACGCGGCTATGGTGCCGAGGGAAGAGGGAAAGGCAGATGGTGGCGCATGTAAGTGTATGTATAGATATAGATATCCTTATCACCTACTGCAGGCCTAGAGAGATCATGATCAGTTTTTGCATAGCGAAAAGGTGTTGGAAATGATCTATGGAGTTTGCACTATCGACTTTTGAAGAAGCCGCTTCTGTCTAAATACAGTGAGTGTCTCTAGCATTTTAAGGAAGCCATCAGATTCTGAAATGCACTGCTTTTTATACCCCATATGGACTCTTGGTAGAGCAGGGGCCTGATCCGCATTCGTATTTTACATCCTACGTATGTATTTAATCATTCTCATGCAGGATCAGAAGATGCACCACTATGCAGAAACTTGACCATGATGGGCAGGTCTTCAACACAGAGGTTATCGCAACTGCTTGTCTATTGAAACCAAAACATATCAGATAACGATGTCCCCCTATGCCCTCTGGTCTCAAAGCATGCGGGGTTCTCCTGATTGTTGTGGTCCAAATGTGTACTTGATGCTAGTAATATTTAAAATTAGTGTCCCTGTGGAGGTTACATACTCCGAAGTCAAAAAGCTCCCCTTCCGGTGTGGAGCAGAATGGCTCAAAGCATCAGATTGGTAGTGTGTGTAGCTAGAAATCTAAAATACAAAGTTCGGGGAAAATAGCTCCATAGGCCCAGGGCCCCACACCAGGATTAGCAAGTGACGTCAAGTTCGATTGAAGCTAGATTCCAAGACTGCTAAGTGGCTAAGTGGCTTCCTAGGTCTGGCCGGCTACACAGATCAAGGAGAACCACATTCTGCCAACTTCAGAATATTGTTGGCAGCATACAGTGAACCTTTGCAGTAAATCCATCTTCCCTCTCAAGCCCCCTGCGGACTCGTTATATGTCTGGGAAGTATGACAAGCGCATGAAGGGGTAGATTTGCTCTGCTCTTCTCCCCTCGTTTCCAAATTTACATCCATTAGCAAGAATGGCTCAGCAGCAGCGCAGTGGGAAGCCATACTCTGGCGTCAATCCAATTCCAAACATCCACAAATTCGTCGAAAGCCTTGACAAGGATAAGAAAGAGCGAGACCGGCAGATTGACGAACAGAACAAGCTATATGAGCAGCAGCACCATGGCTCAGTCAAACCACATAAGAGTGCTCCAAAGCCAACTGGCGGGAAAACTGTCACCGATCCTACGACTGGCAAGCAAGTGGTCATTGAGGATGTCGGCAAAGACTTCATGAAGGCTGTGCGAGATCCGCAGGTATCTGGTACCCGGGACCCATAATCATTCTTCAAATATTAACGTTCTTGCAGCTCACTGTGCCAAATGCAAATCTTGGAAAAGAGACAGTGCGTCGCCTGACGCGATTCAATGACTAGATGGCCTCACACTGACATCTCCCTCAGACCGTAAAGACAGAACCCACGCAGTCCAATCCGGAATACAAGGAGAAGCAGGATATCACTGCACCGCCCGACCCTATCGCCGAGGGTAGCACGTCTGACGTTCCCATACATGGTGAAAAGACCAACATACTTTTCCACCCAACACCATCTGTCAGCTATGAACCTATGTTCGCATCCCTCGAGAAGCGAGCTGGTGGCCTCTGCATGGCCATCCTCATCGCCATTATCGTCGTTGGGAAGATGTTTGGTGGGTCTTTGAAAGGCCTGATACCTCTTGCCGCATGTATATCTTCCGGGGTTTGGTTGTGGATGAAGGAAGTCGTCCGCAGTGGTCGTGAGGTCGAGTGGAGCAGTGAGCAAACAAGAGGCGAGACAGTGGGTAATCGGCTCCATCGCACCGAATTTGAACTTACATTCCTTTGCAGGCGACTGCAAATTTATTGCCCGAATCCGTCGAATGGATGAACACTTTCCTTGGTGTGGTCTGGGGTCTCATCAACCCAGAAATGTTTGCGGCAGTTGCAGATACGCTGGAAGACGTAATGCAAGCTTCAGTACCAGCTGTCATTGAAAATGTCAGAGTTGCCGAGATCAACCAAGGGAACAATCCCATGCGCATTCTAAGTCTTCGAGCTTTACCAGAGAGCAAGGTCCAAGATCTAAAGACGAGCATTCACGATGAGAACAAGACCAAAAAGGATCCTCAGGAAGCTGCCGCTGACGAAGAAGGCGGAGACTACTATAATCTGGAGATTTCGTTTGCTTACCATGCAAAGCCTGCTGGGTCATCCTCCTCGTCCAAAGCCCGTAACATGCATATGGAACTTGTCTTCTACCTAGGAATCAAGGGACTTTTCGGGGTACCCCTGCCCATCTTTGTCGAGCTACAAGAACTTGTGGGTACTGTTCGCCTGCGTCTCATGATGACACCTGAGCCTCCATTCGCCAAGAATTTGACCTTCACGTTGATGGGAGTACCCCATGTCCAAGCTGGGTGCGTTCCGATGGTGTCAACCGGTGTCAACATCCTGAACCTTCCCCTGATCTCCAACTTTGTCAACTACGCAGTCGCTGCTGCCGCTTCTCTTTACGTTGCTCCGAAGTCCATGTCGCTTGACTTGAAAGCAATGCTACAAGGAGACGACATCACCAAAGATACTCAAGCTATGGGCGTGATGTGGATTCGTATCCACCGCGCCATTGGTCTTAGTAAACAAGACAAACGAGGCTCCAAACATGGCGGCTCAGATCCTTACATTAACCTTTCGTTCTCGAAATATGGCAAACCGATGTACTGCACGCGTGTCATTACTGATGACCTAAATCCTATTTGGGAAGAGACCACCGCTCTTTTGGTGACACCAGAATTGATCAAAGCTGATGAGCAGCTTAGTGTTGAGCTTTGGGATTCAGACCGACACAGCGCGGATGACGTGGTTGGAAAAGTTGAGCTTTCCATGCAGAAGCTGATTCAGCACCCAGGTGAGTTATACGTACCCGTCTTGCTGCGCCTTGTGCTAAGTTATAAATGTAGGTAAAATGTTCCCTCAAGTCAGTAAGCTGGCCGGCGTTCATGCCGAGTCGGAGATGCCGGGTGAATTGCGCTGGGAAGTTGGGTATTTTGGGAAGCCGAAATGGCGACCTGAGCTTCGTACAGATGGCAAGGACAGAAACCTGCCTTCGCAGCTCCAAGACGAAAAGAGTCTCCAAGATGAGAAAGGCAAATTGGACAGTCCAGAGGCTGACGCAGTGGCACATACACCACCCGATCCGCTTTGGCCCAGCGGAATCTGTAGCGTGATCGTGCACCAGATTGTGAATCTTGAATTGGAGAACATTCAAGGCACACGAGGAAGCCGGAAAGGGAGAGAGTATGAGCCAGCCAAACCATTCGGTGAAGCCACAGACGAAGAGTCAAAGAACCTGCCAACTTCCTACTGTACCATTCTATACAACGATGTACTCGTCTATCGGACTAGAGCCAAGGCTATCAGCAGCAAACCCATCTTCAATGCTGGAACTGAGCGATTTATGCGCGATTGGAGGTCTGGTATCGTTACGGTCACAGTTCGCGACCAACGATACCGTGAACATGATCCCATTCTCGGTGTTGTACCTTTGAAACTTACAGACATTCTGCAGACCAGTTCGCAGGTAACACGATGGTATCCGCTTGATGGCGGTATCGGCTTCGGAAGAATTCGCATTTCACTCCTTTTCCGGAGCATCGAAACACGCTTGCCGCCAAATCTGCTTGGGTGGGATGTAGGCACTTTTGAGTTCCTATCGGAGCGCATTCTTGGCTTAAAATATTCTCACATCACTAAGCTCAAGCTGAGGACTGGTGGTTCTACAGGAGTTATTCCCCGCACCGATTGCCGAAAGCTTGACGAAGGCGATGGAATCTACTGGGACCTGGCGCGGAAAGACGGAAAGTACAATGTTCGTCTGCCAGTCAAACATCGCTACCGGTCTCCCGTCGTGTTTGAATTCCATACTGCCGGCCATCGAGGTGCTGTGGCGTATGCGCAAATCTGGCTGCAGCATCTCACCGACGATGAGGAAATTCCAATTGACATCCCTATCTGGACGACGAAGAACAGCAATCGGTTGACACAGAATTATGTTACCGAGCAGAATTGCCACGAAGTGTCCGGCCTTGAAGATCTAAAAGAGGTTGGTCGGCTTCAATTCCGCGCCAGATTCAAGCCCGGCACCGATGAGTCTCATAGGGCATTTGTGACTGACAATGATAGTCGGGAGACATTCGAGACATGGGAGGCTTGCCTAGCAGAAGGTGTCAGAGACCGGACTGTGCCCAAGGAGGTGCCAGACCGTGTGCAGGAACTGCACAACGAATCACTCACAAGCGGTCGAGATGTACTCAAGGCGGCCTCGGAGGAAGAGAAAAAGCTTTGGCTTAGCAAGTCCGGCACCGACTGGTCTGGTGCCTTCGGTCACGACCCTAGAGCCTATATGGACAACAAGGGGCGCAAGATTGCTGAACCTGGAGCAGATCGTCCGCCACATGATCCTTTCAATCCTTCCTCGGATGAGGACCACGAGGATGGCAGCGATGACTCGAGCTCAGATCTGGGCATCACTGATGCCACCAACGCACCAAGCAAGAAAAGGTCGAGCATGGACACGACCAGGTCAGGCATGACGGGCTATTCCTCCATGGATGGATCTCCCACATCTAGACGGGAATCTAATAAGCTCAACAAAGATACTGAAAAGCGTAAGCATAGAGGACTAATGCAGTGGAAACCGGCCAGAAACGCTTCCTTCGCCAAAGACCAGGCTAAATATGGGATCAACAAAATCAAACGCAGGTTTTCAGGAAGTCTTGGTGGCAGGGAACCAGGTGTTGAGACGGAAATTGGGTCTTGAATTGGTTGGCAGGCAGAGACGCAGAATGTGACGCGCGCCACCCTCTTGATGCTCTCTCCGGCCTTTTGCTCTCGCACTCTTACAGCATTTAATCTTCGGACACCAAGCATTTTGATCCGCGAAGAAATTTTACCGCGGTGCTTCTGCTTGGCTCTGTTGCATTTCCGACCTTCTGATTGATGTGCGCTTCGGACCTGCCCAAATCAGCATGGTTGGATGATGACATTGATGGCTTCAAATTTGTGTTACAATGCACCTATTCTCGTTTCTCTTTGTCCTTTTTTGACACTTCATTGTTTCTCTCCACCTTGTCTTCCTATTCTCCCCTTAACTTTCCACACATATTCGAACTTTTGAACCTCACATGATATCAATTGCTGCATACTGCTGGCCATTGCTGGACAGCGGGCAGACGCCAGTCCGCTTGTACAGGTAGGTGATCATGATTCGTCTATTTCGGTACAATGGTCTTGTCTGTTGTTTCATTGTTACGCCTCTTGTCAGTGTCTTGAGACCTTATGGGGACTTATGAGAATACGGCCCATTGGGTTTTTTCAAGTGACCACTTCATGGTTAAAGAATGCCTCGCGGATCGCCCCGCGGGGTTGGCGTTGCCCACTTGACCCGAACGGGCGCGGGGGTGGGGCTGCAGAGGCTCAATTGAGCCAATGGCTGTGGATGTGAAGCTTGGGGGGAACGAGCCCCGGGTCACCTATCGACGCAACGAGCTGGCCTCCATAGGTACAAATCTGTTCTTCCTTTGGACTTTCATTATCCTCAGCAGTGACTAATCTCTCCTTCATACGCCTTATCGCGCTCGTCGATGGCATAATTGTCTACCTTCAGCCTCTGCGGGACGCCTTTTCCGCCCATTTCTCCCAAGGCTGTCACACACAACCTCTTCAATCCTCGAGGCAATCTTTAGGATCTAGTTCGCAATGCAGCCCCATCCAAATCCTGCGCAAAGACGTCGTCGAGCGGCACAGACACCCGCCGATCCTACAATCATCGCTAGACAGGTCCGTGATAAGCTGACTCGCAAAGTGAGAGTATTCTTTCGTTACACATTTGCTCACTCTTGTACAGATCTTCGCAGAAGCAAGACCATACAATGCCTACCCTTCATGTGCGGCACCTCTATCTTCCGAAACCCTCCCTCTGCCTGGTGAAGCCTTTACTGGTTGCGTCGGCAGCATTGCCCCAATTCAGCATTTTCCATATTCCATCGACGCTCTCGGCCGCCCAATCCCGCCCACAACTCCGCGTATATCATCTTCCAGCCCAAATCATAGCTTATTCCACTATGTACGCCACGAAAACGTTCCTCCTAGCCAGCTTGGTCCTATAAACCCCAGTCCTGCTGTTCAACTACGAACACGCCGTCTACTGCAAAATGCCTCGACTAGGGAGAACAGTCAACAGGATACAGGCCCGAAGAATCCAATGAGCAGCATCAGAGATCCACAGCGTACAACATCGCAAGGCAATGAAGCTCGGTCATATAGCCACTGTTTGGAAGCCTGCAACGCTCAGCCGCCAGGAAATCTGGGCTCTCCATGTTCCTTCAGTCCACCAACACGATCTGCAAAGTCACAAGCTCACACACGCCTTGCCAGGAATCCTGCTCCAACTTCCAGAGGCCCAGAAAGTCAAAGTGATTCGGCTTCCACCAACGACCGCGAGTACTTGTGGCTAGAGCACGGTCAAAAAGATCCCACTGTCCGGTCGTTGCAGGCGCGGAGCCCTGAAGACTGTAATAGGAGGGATGCCATGCGACAGAAAGGAGGTTCCTGTGCTCCCTGTCGTCGTTCGAAAAAGCAATGTGATGATCACGATTACTGTCAGAGTTGTATCCGCAAGAAATTCCTCTCAGAAGCAAAAATGTTGGCATTGATGGAGTCGAACACATACATTCCTGGCTTCGAAGATGTTTCTCTGCGTGACCTGGACCCGTCTACGCTCCTCAACAACCGATCGCCGGCAGAAGTCGCTCGTGCCGCCATGACGGCGGCACAGGTGCAGGCGATCAACCATGTCAACGATTGGTTCAAATGGGTCTCACGGAACATTGACCCGAAGCCGTTCTACGACGCTATGTTCCAGGGTGAGGTCTCCCTTGGAATCACATCTGGTCCGGATGGCAAGACCGAAAGTTGCTTCAACCTTGAATATGTGCACATATCCAATCACTTCGAAATAGCGACGTATCCCCTAGATGACAAAATTTTAGAGGCCGCATTCTTACAGCATTCCAGCGCTCAAATGCCTGATACACCAAGGCATGATGCTCCACGCTCTCAGTGTGCAAGTCGCCTAAGTTCGGCTGTTTCACATACCTTTGCCTTCCTCAAGAGCTTCGCAGATGCAAACCTATACGCGCATATCAACCACATTGCCGCTGCCAGGGCTACTGTTTCGATCGTCTATGCCAACCTTTATCGCTTATTACTCTCTAAAAGTGATGCTTTCTGCTCGTTTGTATCGAGGGCCTTCCAGCATGACTTCCAGTACTGTGCACGGGCATCTCGGGATAATCTTCTGGAGGACGCTCTTCGCGGTCTCGCTCAGTACTACAGCGTACTGACCGCACTTGCAAAACTAGAGCTTCAGTCTTCCTCTGAGGTTGCTGCACTCTTTTCAAAGCTCGAACAGCGTGCCAAAGGTCTTCTGGAGAAGGGTGGCATAAGGAGGTTGTTCCTCGACATCTACACGAAGTTAAGAGATTCCACACATGCGCGTGGCGGAGTTCCTCAGCCTGAATTCGAAGAGCTCTTACGCGACTACGTCTCCGATGTGCCACCGATCAAATCATTGTCAATTGCCCTTCGTGTCAATTCTGGTAATGGCGACATAGCACCCGTGCCCACGGAAGCGTTCCGGGATACCGATCCATATAATCATAACATCCATATCAAAGTCCGAGACTTACTCAAGAGGTCTGAAGAGAGTGTCATGGATCCCAAACAACTGTATATCGACGGTATTGTGGAAAATTTTGACTTCCTCGGACATACACTGCCAGACGAACCTGATATCTCAGCTAGCTGGTTAGGTGATCTACAGGAGCTACTCTCCAACCGGAATCCTAGTGTGGCCGACACGCCGTCTGAGAGCATGGATCCCGAACATGGAAGCCTTCGTCCTTCGCAAGACAACGACACCCTATCTGTCAAGAGCGAGTCCACGATCCAGGATCACATTCAGTTCGATCATCCTCACCTCACAGATGCCTTGGTTGGGGGGGACCAAGAGGACCACGATTGGCAACAAGTACAATCTAGAAAGAGACGACAGCGTTCTGATGATTCTCAAAACTCGCAGCAATCCTCTGGTCGTGGAGAGCGAAAGCACATCAAACTCGAAGCGGGAAGAGAAAGTCCTCCACCTTACCAACACAACTATTTTGATGTCTTGACTGGTGAACCTGCTACGCTTGGCTGAAGATCAGGATTTTGTTCCACTCTGTAAGAGTGGCTGCGGTTCTGGATATTATTTCCTGGAGGCATAGTCCATCATTCCTGATCCATCACAACTTTGGCCATTTCTGGCAAGTACTGGTTTCATTTCTTTGCAATCATACGGTGTTTGAGGTCAGTCTTGCGGCAGTTGCTTTGTTGCTTGCCCCTGTTCCAGTCACGGGTTGGGCATCCTATCCCAGCTGCCCCTTTTTGCGTGGACATTTAATTCTGATCGTACGGGTGATGGTGTGCGATCGCACGCGTTCAGTGGCGTTGGCCGTGTCATGGTGGTAGTAGGAGCTTTTTCTTGTCGTGTGCACGATACCCTGACACCAGTTGAGATACTTAGTATAAACATTCTATTCGGCGATTCGAATTTACAATCTAGCTCTGCTATCTTGTAATAAGGCGTTCGAGGAGAAGGTATCTGGCTGGACAGGTGCACTGGATACCACAGTCAAACCCTATCTATCATAATCTCGATGTGCTTACATGACATGTAAGAATCCTCAATCCAATGGGCAGAGAACCTCCGGTCTCAGTGAAATAGACAGGCTTGTCCGTTCGAATGCATGTTGGCCGATGGACACCCAGACGCCGAATCTGAGACACCAAGGCTGTCTATCCATCTATCTCCTACCTAGCCAAATTCATCTCTACGTATCTCTCTCTCTCTCTCTCTCTCTCTCTCTCTCTCTCTCTCTCTCTCTCTCTCTCTCTCTCTCTCTCTCTCTCTCTCTCTCTCTCTCTCTCTCTCTCTCTCTCTCTCTCTCTCTCTCTCTCTCTCTCTCTCTCTCTCTCTCTCTCTCTCTCTCTCTCTCTCTCTCTCTCTCTCTCTCTCTCTCTCTCTCTCTCTCTCTCTCTCTCTCTCTCTCTCTCTCTCTCTCTCTCTCTCTCTCTCTCTCTCTCTCTCTCTCTCTCTCTCTCTCTCTCTCTCTCTCTCTCTCTCTCTCTCTCTCTCTCTCTCTCTCTCTCTCTCTCTCTCTCTCTCTCTCTCTCTCTCTCTCTCTCTCTCTCTCTCTCTCTCTCTCTCTCTCTCTCTCTCTCTCTCTCTCTCTCTCTCTCTCTCTCTCTCTCTCTCTCTCTCTCTCTCTCTCTCTCTCTCTCTCTCTCTCTCTCTCTCTCTCTCTCTCTCTCTCTCTCTCTCTCTCTCTCTCTCTCTCTCTCTCTCTCTCTCTCTCTCTCTCTCTCTCTCTCTCTCTCTCTCTCTCTCTCTCTCTCTCTCTCTCTCTCTCTCTCTCTCTCTCTCTCTCTCTCTCTCTCTCTCTCTCTCTCTCTCTCTCTCTCTCTCTCTCTCTCTCTCTCTCTCTCTCTCTCTCTCTCTCTCTCTCTCTCTCTCTCTCTCTCTCTCTCTCTCTCTCTCTCTCTCTCGTTGAAGACGTGGGTTAGGGCTCTGGCGCCGGCGTGCAGCGCTGAGAGGCCCATGGCGTAGGTTGCGGTCGAGTGGCCGAGCGAGATGGTGATGCTGGGGTGCTGGGCTTGGAGGTGGTGGATTAGATGGAGGGAGCCTGGGAGTTCGGGGGCGAGGGTTATCAGTTTGAGGGTAGGTGTTGTGGATGGGAGGTTGTAGATGCTTTCTGGGCTGCTGCTGCTGCTGCTGCTGCTGCTGCTGGTGCTGCTGGGGTCGAAGTCGACGAAGTAGGACGAGTTGTGCGCGCCTTTCTTGGACGGGTGCAGGTACGGTCCCTCGGCGTGGGCGCCGAGGAGGGAGGCGCCGTTCGCGAAGGCGCGGTTATTATGGAGTGATGTGGCCTAAGTAGTGTAGTTGGGAAGAGGCGCGGGATGGATGTATATATGTGTAGACAAGGCGGGGTCTAGGTGAACGAAGGTGGAAGAGGAGGTGGTAATGGGAGACATGCGGTTGATTTCTTCTCCTTCTCCTTTCCCTCCGTCCCTTTCTTCTTCAGCTGAGATCACATCGCACCGAGCAACCCCCTCCCTTCGGAACAAGGATCGTCATCTGACAAAAGGGAACAAAGTGAATTCCAAAAACACACAAAAAACAAAAGACCAACCACGCGCACCTACCTCACTCCACCTCCCCCTCTCCACTG